TTGTTAAAAAGATGTCACTGCAACATAGTTAACAACAGAAAAAATTAACAGATTTATACATTTTTCAAGTAAATTATTGAAAATTAACGCGTTTTAAAAGTTAAGATAATTTAATTATGAATGCACGTATTTTATTTATTACTCGTTTAGTATACAATATGTATTCAAAATAACTATTATGTGCGATAAATACTTCTCTGCATTGGTTTCATTGATCTTTTTGCTTTATTGGCATAGGTCCACATTCAGGGCTCGAATACATGATCTTAACTCTGATTTAAGAGTCGAAGACTTAGGACTAATAATGCTTGTATTTCATTTTTGTTTTCTTTTTTTTTCAATCGAGTCAGAATAATTCAGATCAAACGTGTTTTTTTTATATATTATTAGTATTCATTTAAACCTATTAATAGATGTCATCTTTTTTAAAAGACAAAAATAACTTAGTTTATAATGTTTCAGGTGAAAGGTCTCTGTGGAAATTACAATGGCGATACTCGAGATGACTTCCAGTCGCCTTCCGGCGGTGGTCTTGCAGAAACATCTCCACTTCTCTTCGCTGATTCCTGGAAACTGAAAGCAACTTGTCCAAAACCCAATGAAGTTACTGTAAGTGATATTGGTATCGATTTTGTTAATAAAAAATGTACAATCCTTTTGTTTATACGTTTTTTTATAAATTATACCATTGTTTGACCGTTTTACATATTTGGATATTCAGAAACAAAATTCACTACAAAACTTGAAATCAACGTGAATTTAATAGATCGTCTTTTGTTTACGAATATGAAATTTGAATAAAAATATGTTACTAAAATAAAAATGAAAAATCCAAAAATGAAGAAGAAAACTTGAATTACTACTTTTATTATCATTACTATAAAACATTAAATGAAATCCGTAGGACCATTGCAAAGATCGACCCCATCGCAAAGAATGGGCATCGTCAACTTGTGGGGTACTAAAAAAGTATCCATTCACAATGTGCCACAGTGAGGTACCTGTTAGTGGGTTCGTATCGCGTTGTGAGACGGACGCGTGCGCGTGCGACTCGGGTGGAGATTGCGAGTGTGCGTGCGCGGCGATCGCTACGTACGCGCACGCTTGCAATGCTAGGGGCGTGCACGTTAAGTGGCGCCATCAGGAGTTGTGTCGTGAGTAGTTATTTTTACAAATTCACGAAAAAGTAAATGATGATTTAACAAAGATGCTCAAAATTTAACACGGAAAAGTTTACAGCATTTAGTGACCTTCGGTGACACTTTCTTTGATCATCTAAATATATAATAAAGCACAGTAACATTCCCAGTAACTGTATTCCGATACTTGCATAATAAGTATGTAATGATTAAAGATTTATTATTATTATTATATATAGTAGTTTTACAAAAGTATTATCTTGCTAATTCAAAAATGGGTGCGTGTACTTATGTACGCGCGTAAGAAGTTATACTTCTTTGGCATTATTAAAAATAGTTTTTAATTGCATGCAAATAATTAATTACAATTAAAAAATCAACGAGTCATTATAGTTAATAAAGTTCAGTTTACATTTGAAAAATTAAATAAATAAATATTTATTATTATTCTCTTACATTAAGTGTAACATAAATTCTATTATTATTCGAATGTTGTTTTTAAATTATGTCCAATGCCCATTAACAGAATGAAGTTCTGTGGGCAACTTCATTCTGTTAATTTTGTGTAACGGTGCGCGCGCATCGTAAAATTTCACTCTCATCTGTTTTTCATAACGCGCCTAAAGAAGTATAACTTCAAAAAGCTTATTCGTCTCCAAAAAATCAATAGTTTTCAATTTTATTTCCATCACATATCGAACTTTGTATGGACATTTTTTTTGGATATGTTCTAAGAAATAAGTTTCTTAGTTGAGCACAAAACTATGTGATTCCAGAATTGAATTCCGTCCATTTGTGTTACTCCTAACTTCTAATTTAAATTTTCTTGACATTTTGGTGTAATTTTTAGCTATGCAATGTGACGAAGAGTGCTCCAACTACAACGAATGTATATCTGCGTGTCCACCAGAGACGTGTGACAACACACTTGACTACGCTGAAATTAAGGCAGTTTGCGAACAAGAAACTTGCGTTGAAGGTATAAAAATTTTCAAATATTCAGTTTAATTTAATTTTTCCACGCTTGTTGTGATGTGCCCAGTACAGTGTGTTTTTAACATTTTATTTATAATTTTCCCAGCCATAATTAAAATCTTTCTAGCTGCCGTATTTTTTATTAATAACACATGTTATAGGCAGGCGGCAATATATATCGTGATCCTTGAGATCTCGTGAATATTTATTTATGTGTAAACGCGGCCGAAATAAATATTAAGCATATTGACATAAAATCTAGATTTTTTGTGATCCATCAATATGTGTCAATTGACTGTGTGTGTGCGTTTTGATTTGGATGAGTACTCATAGTAAGATGTTGGATCACTGTTTTTACAAAATAAACCTACGTAATGTATTTAAAAAATTAAAGTAGTTACGTAACTGAGTACGCAAATATATTGTTTTAATGAACTTACCTTAATATAGGATTAAGGTAAGTTAAAGTTTGGCCTGTATTATGGCAATACAGGTCTTACTTTTATCGTCCATTATTACGGAACACTTGACGTGTTTCGTCCGAATAATGATCTTCTGACTACTGGCGATATTGAAGTCAATATCTATTGAAATTGTTGTACGACCAGTTGATTCACTATATATTGAGATAGGGATCGCGATATTTATTGACCTTCTGACCCCTGCCATATAGTAGGTATTCTGTCTCTAAAAAAATATTAGTAAGTTGAAAGCGTAATATGAAATTCGCATACTGCATCATTTAGCATTTTAAATATCTATTAATTTCAGGTTGTAAAGCAAACAAAACATGTCCAGAAGGTACAGTTTACTCAAATAGCACCTTAAAGGAATGTGTTCCTCGGGCAAAGTGTAAACCACTTTGCATGACCCTTCCCGACGGCACTGAGATATTGGAGGGAGAGGTCATTGAACAGGACGCTTGTCACACTTGTAGATGTTCTAAGAAAGTTCGTGTTTGTACTGGACAGCCGTGTTCTACTGAAGCGGTAAGACTTTTTAAGCAACAATTTGGTCCATTAGTAAGGCCTCATAGGCCAAACATACCTAACAGGTGCTTAGTGACGTATGCTTTATTTTTGCATTAGGTTAAAATTTGACTTCTTAGAATTCCACAACTCCTTTACCAATACCATTCTTAATATAAATTGAAATGGTTTCCTGAAAAGTAAATTTCACCCCGCTCCAAGTCTTTCCGGTTCCCTTTGCCTCATCTGCAAACTGTACGACGCCTTGGGACATCCACGCTTCCGCTTTCCTTACGGTTTCCAATCAAGAGCCTGCTTGGGGATATAATTGATATCTCTTCAGATTGTTGTGGTTATCCATTTCCACTTGCGTCGCTTGATCTTCTGGCTAATGTTGTTCGTTACATATATTCTCGAGCCAGTAGATACCAAGAATATGGCGAAGACAGCGGTCGACGAAGACTTGGAGCAAGTGCGAGATGTGTTTAGTGACCTTGAGATGTTTGTCATAGATAATAATAAAGTTCTAGATATAACTTTAATTTTTTTCAAGAAATATATATTACGATTACGATACGATTGATTGGAGACTTTGGAATTAGAACAAAAACTTTTCAACCAGAATTGAAACATGATACAGATCCATAAATGAAATAATTTCAGACAAGCCCAGAACCAACATCGCCACCAGAAACAACGCCTCACGATGAAGCCTTCAGATGCAGCGATGGGTGGAGTGAATGGATTAATCGTGGCCCATCTGAGATCGGTCCCACTGGCGAATCTAAGGATGTTGAGCCATTGCCCTTACCTAAAGAATTTGTAAGTATTGTTGCCAGTGTTGAAACATTTACTTAATCTTTTGTTCTATTATAAATGAATACTTTTATTATTTCACTTTTATTAAATCAATTAAAATTCCAATACATCGAGTCCATCTCATTCATTAGAAGTACTTTAGTAATCTACTAATAACAACATGATTTCGTCATCCAATTCAATGATCGTTGTATGCGTAATTAAATCAAAATTTCACCGTTGTATGGCAATGAACCATAACTTGTATCTTGTTAGTCCTACATATGTTGGTCCTTCGAACCAGAACCTTTTCCCAACCGGATACCAGGCGCACGGTTGGGTTCCATCCTTATCTGTTTGACGTTTTGAGAGCTCGCACAATACGTTGGCTTCGTTGTTTCTTGTTCGCACAGCTTAGGAATGGAACTCCCTCCCTGCGTCTGTTGTTCTAGAAAATTATAACAAATATAGCATGGCATCAAGAAAAGAGCAAATAGGCATATTTTAGGCAGGAGTGACTTAGCAACTTAGCCTAGTATCATTTCATTCATTCCATTAAGTAAGATGCAGATGCAAATACCTGTCTCTTTGTTTTAAAAAATCTCTAAACGAAATAATGTTTCCAGCTAAGTGGTACGCCAATGTGCAAGCGAGACAACATGACAAAGATCGAATGTCGTACTGTGGGTGACCACAAAAGCCCGAAGGAAACTGGCTTAAACGTGGAATGTAGCTTAGAGAAGGGCCTTGTCTGCAGTGAACGGGAGAAGACTTGTCCGGACTTTGAGATACGCGTCTTCTGTCAATGTGAAGGTATGTTATCATTTATTTCAAAGATTTTTTATTTTGGCAATTCCTTGAATTCTCGTGAACTGTTATTACTTTATATTAAGTTGTAATGCCTTCTAATCTTATTGGCCACATGATGTTGTATAAGAATGTACTCAAAAAGTTCCCAGTGAGAGCATATCGACAGTTTTATTCTTTTTAAGTGTATTTTTCAGTAAGAACAGCTGAAGCGATTGGGTGGACTAGTAATAAACACTAAATAAAATAGTAATAGTTTTTGTTATTGCTAACTTTACAATACAATTTTTAAATATATTTTGTCACATTAACAAACTTGCAGAAATATTCCAATGCTTGGACTCGACTCATCCGAACCACCCACATCCCACGGACTGCAGCAAATTCTACGAATGTACTCCAAACCCTGGAATGCCTCATCCTCACGCTGTGCTGAAGGACTGTCCTCCGGGTCTCATGTACCACTCTACCTTAATGGTGTGTGACTGGCCAGCGGCTGTCATTGCCGATAGACCTGAATGCGGAGAAGAGACTACCGGTGAGTTTTTTGAACTGCAATTCTAAAATAATATAACTATACTGCTATACCACTATTCCGGTTTGGTAAAACTTTGCGTTAGAGTAATTTGATAAGTGTAACTTTTTTTTAATATATTTATTTTACAGAACAATACAATCTAATTTTGAAACCACTTTGGTTTCTATTAAAGTAACAATAGCAGTCTGGTCAGCAGCCCGACAAATCCATATAAAAATAGATTTTCAACTTGTTTTTTATGTTAAATTAAGCTATCTAATAACTGACTGGGTAGTCCGTTTATTAGCCGCGGTAATAAATACTTCAACGTTCTCTCACCATAGACATTGTTTGCTCTCGTACAGAGCGGAACTTGCGTTGGAGCCAGTCAATACAGTAATAGAACTGTCTCTTAAAATACTAGAAAACATAATTATTGACTAGCTTGTTGATCAGTGTTATTTCTCATCTTCCACTATCTAATAAAGGTTTTATTTACAGTACCTTCAACAAAGACAGCCACAGAACCAACTACAGGTATACTTCCTTCTAATTTCTTTGTCATGTCTTCAATCAGTCTGGTAATAATATTTATTAGTAATTATTTGTATTTGGTATATGTGATATTTTCAGTAAGAACAACTCAAGCGACGACAAGTACAGAATCAACCACAAGTATATGTCCGCCGGGTCAAGTGTTCAAAGAGTGCGCGTACCCTTGCGACAAACTTTGTGATCACTTCAAACGTGCTCTGCAGGATAAAGGACAATGCTTTATTGGAGAGGTAAGGTTTTTGTAACAAAATATGTTATTTATTTATGTTTTTTAATATTTAGTCTCGATTTTATAGTATATAATATGTAGTATATTGTTTATAATTTTAAATGTTTTAACAAATCTACGAGTGGGATGTTTGGAAGAAACTGCTCTTAGAAGTGACATTCCAATTCCATTAATTACATATTCAGGTAACATCTCTTGTCTACTTTTTTTAATATAAATAAGTCTTTAGTTCTTTATAAATATAAGGGTCCTTAGAGGATAGGCTTAAATATTTTTATTGTTCAGCAAAACTAATAAATGGACTCCGAAAGCTAGTAAATTCAAAATATAATTTCCTTCGTATAAATTACCTTTATTTTTCAGAAATGTATCAGCGGCTGCGTAGACCATTCAGTCGATAATATGAAGTGTGAATTTGGATCCCTCTGGAGAGATGAGAAGACCTGTGTTCCTGTCAAAGATTGTACCTGTCAGTACGAGGGTAAAATTATAAAGGTATGATTATATTGGCATATTTAAATATTTCCGCCAAAAAATGATTGCCATAGTAAAATGTTCCCAATAGTTTTCAAGCAGTTTCTAATATACTTTTTTGATAATCTCTATACCCCACTATTTTGTTAAATTGAGTGCTAATTTAAATTTTGGGTTGGCTCTTGAGTCTTGATACTTCTTATACCGTAATGCTAGAAACATTTAAACAGCAGCAAATGAAAAACGCCACAGTTAATTCACGTCATTCGTCTATAGGCCTAATTCTTAATATTAACATAATATTTTCCAGCCCGGTGGTGTCGTTGTAGTTGACGACTGTACTAAATGCCAATGTCTGGACAACGAACTTCACTGTGACTCCAGTGACTGTGTATCTATCATTGTTCCTATCAAGGGTTCCACTCATTCACCAATGATCTTCCCTGAATCTCACAAATCGCTTTCTACCACTACAACATCCACAACAACCACTACTTCCACCACTACTCCTGCCACGACTCCTACGGTACCTAGTACATCAACTAAAGCTCCTGATACGACACCAGTTCCTTCTACCATGGAAACGACAACTGTTTTCATAAGATCTACAGTAACACCGCCACCGAAATGTAATCCAGATCAGTAAGTTCTTTATTATTTCAATGTGTCGTGTAATCTATACTTATAAACTTGCTTTTATTTTTTAATTTGATTGCATGAATCTCGGGAATTCAAGAATTACTTTTGTGTTTTGGATAGACCCTGTATCTGGAAATGAGATTGTAATTTGGGATAGCTTTAATACACTTTACTAATCTCCCTGCGTTTGATTTACCGAATGTAAACTTTGGTAAATTGACTTTTAATAATAAGAAATTCTTTTAGCTTTAAAAAACTACTATGGGAGGGCACTCCGCTACCCGCTAGTGCCTTTACGGCAAGTTCCGCTGCTAGTCCTATGTTTGAACCCTACTTCACTAGACTTGATGGACGATCTTCTGTAAATTCTGGTATGTACTTTAAAGAATGGTTTTTCTTAATGAATATCTTCAAAACTTTAAAAAAGCACCTTATTCTATGCATCTCTGACGCTATTTAATATTTTATTTTATCTTAGCCGGAAGCTGGAACCCATATCCAATAGACGACAAGCAATATGTACAAGTGGAACTACCTGAAAAGACCCCAGTTTACGGTGTGGTGATGCAGGGTAGCCCACTTTTCAACCAATATGTTACTAGCTACGAAGTCATGTATGGAGATGATGGGAATGTATTCTCTTACGTTGACAGCCCAAGCGGCAAGCCACAGGTCAGAAAATCAGTAATAATTGTTTTTTTTTTTTAAATTTTGTCTTGTTAATTTGATAACTCCATTTTTCATAAAAGAGATTAGATTTTGCTTTTATATTTAAATTAAACGTGTTCCTACAAGTTCTAAATAATGTCATGAAATTTATCATTAATCAGCCACGACCTGGATATTGTCTTTAAAAAAAATTGATTATTTCAGGTATTCCGTGGTCCCGTAGATCATACGTCACCACTAAAGCAGATGTTTGAAAAGCCATTTGAGGCTAAATTCGTTCGTATTCACCCGCTCACCTGGCATGAAGAAATTGCCGTACGCTTTGAACTTATAGGATGCGAGGAATTTACTACAACTGCCACTACTCCTACCACAGTTACTACTACCCCCACTACCGTTCCTTCCACAGTAAGCACTCCTGTCACTCCCACTCCTACCACACCTACTACCCCTACTACCCCTACTACCCCTACTACCCCCACTACCCCTACTACGCCTACCACAATCATTCTGACAACGCTGGCGCCAACTACCGTAAGTTATTTTTGATTGAATTTTCTATATAAGTTCCGTTATCCAATCTTCCGTTTTTTAAATAAATCTTTGAGTACTGCACTAACGCGTCAAAAGCCTTAGTAAGATTTTTTAAATCAAGCAATTCTAGTAAAAACGCATTCAAATGCATGAAGGCCACATTACTTTTTAATTTGAGATAAAATTTCTAAACAGCCTGAACCACTGCAATGTACGGAGCCTTTGGGATTGGCAGCTGATTTACCGATAGACATGATTGAAGTGAGCTCTAACAATGACGGTAGACCCAACTTTAAGCTGGACGGCACCAAGGGCTGGAAACCAACATACAGTACTCCTGGAGAATGGATTATGGTGAGCATTTACTAAATATTCCTGTGATTATTACTTTGTTGATACTAAACATTTCTTAACTAAAAGATTATGTTTCTAAGTAGTTTTACAAATACGTTTAAAAATGCATGAGGTAGACGCATTTTGTGTCTGGTTTTGGATAAGTTATGATATGTTATTGATGTTTGTATTGTTACTTTTATCACTAATTGCTTCCTCAACTTGTTGGTCTGTAACCCCCTTCTAATATATTTTGCTTATTAAATTTGTTGGTCGGTTACGTTCTATATTACTGTTATCCGTCACTAAGTGGCAAGCAACTTCATTTATATTATTAATTTTCAGTTTAACTTCACATCTCCTCGCAACATTACTGGCATCAAAACTAAAGGTGGTCCTAGTGGTTGGGTCTCATCATACAATATCATGTACACCTGCGATCTTTCCACTTTTAACCCAGTGGTTGATGAAAACGGGAAATATAAACTGTTCCCTGGCAATTTTGATGCGGATTCAATTGTTATGAACGAGTTCAGACCATCTCTTCGTGCGCAGTACTTGAAGGTCCTACCGCTTAAGTGGAATGAGGCTATTGAGATGAGAGTAGAGCCCATTGGATGCTTCGAACCATATCGTAAGTCGTATTAAGTAATCTTAATGTGTCATCTGGTATGTCTTCTTTTGTATGAAAAAACTTGCTACGTTTGAGATAATATTTTTTTTGTCATGCTTCCTGTTTTCTACACTCTTATTAACTAAATAAGATTTTTTGAATTTCTTTTATAGCATAATTTTTTGGCACCCCAAATCTAGATAAAAAATTTTCTTGTTCTCGATTTTAAAGCATTACGTGAAGAACCGAGGGACGAGCGGGTTCCCTTGCCCAAACCGCCCTGCGAATTGTGCCCGGATGTACCTGTATCGTCTTTAAGCCATAAGTGTGCTTGCACACCACCGTATTACTTCGATGGCGAAAACTGTGTTCCTAGGGATGAGTGTCCTTGCATGGTTGGATTTATGTCGTAAGTATTTTATTAGCTTTTTCATTAAAACAGATTTTACTATTCATTTATTGATGAGAAAAAACAATGAATTGTATATTTCAAACAAAGTTATGTGCGCAGATTTCTGCATATTTTTCTGGATCTTTTGAGGCAAGAATTAAGTAACTGGAACTTCGTTTCACCGATCAATCATCTCAAGAAATACTCCATGTGCCTTAGAGCCGGTACATATACTTTTAATATTTCAGATATCCAGTAGGATCTGCTTTCCGTGGCGACAAGTGTGACGATTGTATGTGTAAGTTGGGTGGAATCACTGACTGTCGTCCAGCCGCGGACTGCATATGTGCACCGGTGAGTAATTTGTAAGGTCAACTGAAACCTAAGGTAGATTAAGAAGTAGGACTAAGGAGACCACAGCGTCGCCATTCCACCGTGCAACAATTGTGCGAAAAATTGTATAATCTTGGGCACGCAGTGAGTCTGACATAACCCTCCATCGCAAGGTAGTCATGCCGCGGGAGGGTATCCCACAAAAAAAACTAAGAAAAAGCTTACGCTTTCCACGCCATTCCTTCTTGCAGGTGTTGTGTTTTCTTATAATATGAATATGGTGCATCACTATGTCGAAGCCCTTCTTTCACAACGCAGACACACTTCCCTGTTTCTCTCTCGCCTCACTCTACAGTGAGTGTGATATATCGTCGTATGTATGTAATACTAGTGGACCCCACAGACGTTGTCCTGCATGATATTTAAAGCGATTAGGATATTAAGCAAAGTATGAAAGTACCGACTGTAGTGCCATCTGCCGGGCTGATTTGTGAATCTAAACCATTCCCAGATCCCCTTGAACACACACAAAAAATTTCATCAAAATTGGTCCAGTCGTTTGAGAGGAGTTCAGTCACATACACACGCACAGAAGAAATATATATATTAAGATACAACTATTCCAATGCTGGATTCTTTTATCTCTTAAAGCAAAATCGGGATCCTTCTTCTGATCGTTTTGGATATTATTTACGATACTTTGTTTTTCAAAATTATCAGTTTCTTTGTTATTGAATTCACGTTCACAATTTGAGGCAAGAGTGACTAAATTCAACACAGCTTATATACTGTTTCCATAAAAATGTGTTTAATATGTTGGTGATATTTGGTTATCATTGGATCATCACTATTCTGTGTGAGTTGTGTTATATTATTCGAATATAATTCGAAAGAATTTTCCATTATTCCAGGGTTTTGTGCTAATTAAAAAATATCTAATATATCGTCATAGTCATAGAATAGTGACGGATCTGACAAATAGTAAACTTTACAGCCATTTCAAAATGATATAATCATGTTAGTTTTTGTCATAATTATTTTAATTCATATTCTGTTATTATGAAAATTGGCATACAAGCAAACAAAAGGGTTTGTTTTGAAAAAAAATCAAATCCGTCTCTTTACCGACTGATTAATTTGTAATTTAAATCACATGGATTTTTTTTAAATGTAGCCGTAATATTTAGTCAAATATACTACATAGTACAAATATGATAAAAAGTGGATTTTGTATTTTTTTCAAATCCGACATTGTTCTACGATCATAACGATATTAAAGTTTTTTTTCACGCTTTTTATAGGACCTTGTACCTCATTTATCACCTTCATGCGAGTGTCTTTGCGAGCCGTGTGCGAATGGTACAAAAATATGTCCGACGAGCAAGCTATGTCTTCCGTTGGAGAAGTGGTGCGATGGTCTACAAGACTGTCCTGATGATGAACGCGACTGTACCACACGTGCTCCTGTCACGGAAACTGTCATCACGACTGTACTGCATACTGAAGCAAATACTCCACCTACGGTCACTACTCCTGCAACTACCATTGCTACTACTGAAAAACGTGAGTACATATCAAAATCATTGAAACATATTATGCCTAATAATCATAATAAATCTATATATGTTTCGTGATCATTTGTTTTAATAATAGGCAAGAAGGTGATCAGCCATAAGGCTGTGCCTGACACACGCCGTTTACTTTTTTGGGTCTATGGCATGCCGGTTTCCTCAAGATTTTCCTTCACCGTGCGAGCGAGTCAATGCTCACACATAAAAAAGTCTATTGTATCTGGAAATCGAACTTCATCCTAGTTTAGATCCTCAGGGCCAAAAGTCGCTCGCTGAAGCCACTAGGCCGACAATATTTACTATTTAAAGGACGCAGTGTAATTATTTCTATTTAGCTCCAAATATGTTACGGTACGCAAGTTCTAAAAATCTATATTAAATGACTATTAACTGATGTACGTTTTATTAAAACATTGTGTGTGGTTTGTTGCATTCCTAATTTTCCAGTAACAATCGATTCGTTTTGACGCCTAAAACACTGCTTATATCGCATGTTTTATAATCCATATAATATAATTTATCATCATTATAATTTTTTGTACGTTTTCAGCGAAAGAATGCCCGAAAGTAGAATGCCCACCTGGTTACACAGTCATGTATACCTCGAACACCCGTTCTAGCCACTCTCGTAGTACTTCTGACCTTCCACCGCCAAGACCCAGATACTCCTACCAGCGTTACTACCGGGGTGGTTTCGCTAAAGGAGGCTTCTCAAAAGGTGGTTTCGCGAAGACTGGTTACTCGAAAGGAGGTTTCTCGAAAGGCGGTTACGGTATGTCTATTAATTAAAAAAATATTTTTGTTGTATTACCAATTTTCGAAATATTTGATATTGTTTTTTTTTTTAAATATAATTATTCATAGGATTACATTATCTCCTTTCGTGTTAAAGGTCCACCCGCACCTCCGCGTCAGAACCAAGCGTTCTCACTGGACAAGCCATCACCAACGAACAACACGAACAAACAGGAGTGTGCGCAATTCAAGTGTATCCCCGCTCTCCCCCCGCCGTTCAAACCCGGATCGACACCCGCTCCAGTCGTCTGCTCCACACCAGCTTGTCCTCCTCATTACACCCTCAAACTTGAGAGCGTGCCCACTGAGATCAACAGATGTCCACAGTAAGTAGTCATATTAGACCTATATCAAAATGCACCGCTCGGTAATTCTTTATTAGAATATCGTCAGATTTCTTACAGAATTCAAGTCTATTATTTTTTTATATATTATTTACCTCTGCATTTTTCCGCATTTACAACTAAATTCTAAGCCGCAATAAAGTTTGCAAAGGAAAAAATCTGATGGGAGATATTCTTGCGTTGACGAGATATGGACGAAAGACATCATAGAATGGTATCCCAGAGATAGGAGATGGAAAAGAGTTCATCAAATAAATAGATGGGAAGACGATCTGCCAGAAGGATGGAGAAGATCAGCTCGCGAAAGAGACGAGTCAAAACAATAAGGGGATGGCTATGTCGGAAGATAGTTATCTTAGTGCCCAACTGGTTGCTGATAGCTAGTGTGATACTCTTCTGCTATAAAAAAAATTGTTTAAATATATGTTATCGCTTAGGTTAAAGTTATGTAAATGTATGTATTTGGTTAGTGAATAATGGCTTTTATTATTATTACTTAAAAAGTTTTATCTTATTCATCACTCTATTTTTTAAGATACGTATGTGTACCACCCGCTGAGAGACCGGTGTTCTGCAATGTTACGGGACGCACGTTCAATACATTCGACGGTATGGAGTACAAATTCGATGTGTGCTTCCACATACTCGCTAGGGAGAACCGATTTGATGCTTGGACAGTCCTCGGTATGTCTTTTCCTCATATTTTTCATTATAACATTTTTCCGCATGTTTTGATCTTTCACGGAATTCATTGTGAGTTAGAACATAAGATTTGTTTAATAATAGTTTTATTTTTTTTCTTAATTTATTAATATTACAAATAATACAATAAAATCTTAATGTGTTACATTAGAATACCGCTGTTGTTTGTATAAATGAAACCAGAGAAGTCTTGTTTAGGAACGCGACAAATGCATGGTATGGTTTGTGGACTCAGTTTCCGCACTTAGACGCTCAATAGGTCAAGGACAAGCGACAAATGCATATAAAAATTGTTTTTCAATTTACTGATTATGTTGGTTTACATAAGGCTATCTAATAACTGGGTAATCCATTTATTAGCCGCGGTAGCAAATACCTCAACGTTCTCTCGCCATATACGTTATTTGCTCTCGATGTTGTGTTACCGCTCGAGTCTGTACGTCACGCTGAACTCTTTTTTTAGGTCATCTCGAAAAAAGTTGCTCGACTAGAAGAGTTACATACACTATATTTCGTTTATAATAATTCCTTTACAATTTCTCTTAACCTTTATGATCATTGTATAACTATGAGATCGAGTCCTCTCTACTAAAAGAAAATGTCGGTCAAGGCCTGTTACACTTTTCCAAGTAGAAAATTAGTTATTTCATATTATGGGGATACTAATGGACCCGAGTGACGTTGTCCTTTTAAACAAAAAAAAACAATATCGTCTAATTGTAAATCTACACCATTCTCGAATCCACTTGAACATTCATAAAAAAAATCATCAAAATCGGTCCAACCGTTCAAGAAGAAGTTTAATTACAAACCCAACTTATATAATATATATGTAAAGGGTAACATTACATAAGCGTACATAGTTACTTAAACTAGGAATTTTGTATTTAACCATTACTTTACAGCCCGCAAGAAGTGCTCAGTAGACCAAGGCTGTGCAAACGAGCTGCTGGTCCTGCAAGATGACCAACTGATTCTGGTGAAGCCAAATCTAATGATAGAGTATGACAACTACGAGTACACCGTGGAGCAGACCAGCAAAATCTGTTTCCAGAAGAACAGCTTTGACGTCTTCCGTCTTGGAAATGGACTCGCAATACAGTCAAGGAAATATAACTTTACAGTTCTGTACTCTACAGATGGTGACGTTAAGATTGGGGTAAGTTGGTGTTGGTAACTTCGTTATTCTAACACAAAAATACTTTAATGTGAGTCAGTATAAAGAAAATCATTTTTTCTGATTCTTTTATTATTATTTTAAAATCGGGTTGTATATTTCGTAAATAAAATCTTTTACCAAAACTAAAGTACATGTATTACCCTGTACTGTAATTATTCTTCTTTATTTTGAGGTAGATCTTCTATATAATTGAGAAATATAACAATGACGCTTGCCCTACGAATATTATAAAGGATGGTATAAAACTTCTTTATTATCAGGTTTCCAAAAAATACATGGGCCACGTAGACGGGTTATGCGGCGCATACGACGGTGACATATCGAACGACCGACGACTACCAAACGGTCGTCTCGCTCAAACCATATCAGAATTTGGAACAGCTTGGGCCAAACCAGGGCTGCCACGAGATGCTTGCAAGACCAAAGTGATTTCACCACAGAAACAGAAACGTGTGTGGGATCTGTGCAACGTCATAACGTTAGTGTTCTTAAACTAATAAAAACTGTCATAGTAATTGCTAAAGCCACTATGGCAATATATTTGATAATAATTTTAGAGTTTCTACAAAACTTACAAAACAAACCTTTAGAATAATAAATAATTTAAAATTATTGCATTACGAGAATACGAAATGACTATGGTAGAAGTAAAATAAAGAAACTATAACATTAAATCAACAAACAGTATCAAAGATACTGCTAGGAACAATTAATTTTGAACCTAACATACCTTACAGCCAGGAGCCATTATCGGAATGCGCAAAAGTTCTTCCATTGGACAAATGGCGTAGTATCTGTCTAGAAAAGATATGCGAGTGCGCAGAAATGGTTATCAACGGAACAAAGCGTACTGAGGAACAGTGCCGATGCCTTCTCCTAGAACAAATGGTGGCCGAATGTCTCGCAGCTGATAAGAATATTAATGTGGATACTTGGAGAATACAAAACGATTGCCGTAAGAATTAAAATTTGTTTTTATTGAAAATTACTTTCAAAACCGACAAGAAATTAAGACCCTTGCGGTATCCATATTAAAAGATATTATGAGATAACGATATAGTTGAAGACAGAGTTGCAATGCTAGTTTTACTACTAAATTGGATCAAAAGTCCATGTTATGTATCTTTTTATAAAACATTCTGAAAAGGATAAAATTTATATTAAAAATCTCGAGAAATTTGTGGATATTTTAAAATCGATATAATAACTGTCACATTTTCTGGGATTAATTATAGCTGCCGATTGTCCCCCGCCCTTAATCCACTACGACTGCTACCGCAAACGTTGCGAGCCTTCCTGCGGTCCTCTTTCTGCGGTGTCTGACTGTTCTGCTGAAGACGGACAATGCTTCCCCGGTTGCTACTGCCCTCCAGGAAAATTGAGAAAGGCTGACCAATGTGTGGCACCTCACGATTGTCTTGACTGTGAGTAAAAGAATATAATACGGATGAATATAAAATTACGCACATATATTTAATGTAAAAAAACAAAGTTCATCACTTTGTTTACATAATTCATCAAATTCAATTCAACTAGAAGTATAATTTAACATTGGGTCTTATTAATAAATAATATTTTTTTCAAGTTTATGTATATAGTGACAAAAGGGTGATTTATCACTAAGGATCTAGTCTTATTCAATCTCCAGTCCAGACTTAGCCCTAAGTACGCTGCCGTATGTCCAAAACGTATTAGAATTTGACATACGGCAAGTAGTGGACTCTAAGTTTCGTCCCTTTCGTCGTTATCTAACCCTTGTTTAAGATTCAAGAGGCAATTCTTTCTTTTTCAAAAATTCCTGTAATTGTCTCCTTCAGGTGTATGTACGGGTGTGGGTACGCCAGCCAAGTACGTGACATTCGAAGGTGATGACTTACCATTCCTTGGTAATTGTACTTACCTTGCCTCCAGGGACCGCAATGAGACCGGACAACATAAGTATCAGGTATATACGTCGAATTGTATATCTCCTCCCTCGTTTATGATGTTGTGTAATGTTGTATTTTTTTACAAGCAGATATAAAACAATGTCAAAGTTTAAATATATATGTCTTCATAAAAGTATTGTACACTTATGATAGTGAAAAGCTATCTTTGGCTAGTTCTTAAAATAAAGGATGAGTAGAACTGACAAACTCTCTTTTGTTTTATAAGAAGCTTTTTAGGTGCTGCACCATTACACCTTTCTTCAGATATCACGGAATTAATTATGACTCAATAAAAAAATACTTAGTCTCTTACAACAATGAACATGTCAAAATATCTCCAGTAATTAAATCTATTTCCTTGTAAGAAATACTAGTAGAAATATGTCTGCCCCTGGGAGGACTACTAATGCCACATAGTTTGCATTTACAAAAAATTCTAAAATATTTTAGGTTTACGCTACAAATGGACCCTGCGAAGAAAACAGCGGTGTAGTTTGCACAAAGGCGGTTCATCTTATATACGACAAACATGTTATACATATAACCAAGGATCCAGATAGCAAAAAGGTAACTTAATCATGAGTATTAAAAATATTTCCTAATATTAGCAATTTCTATACTGCCTTAGTAAATCATTCTTTGCTGTTTATTTCATAGAAATTTCGTAACTGAATACTAAAAAAACTACCTTGAGGGAAACGGACATTCTTACTGCCGCTTCGTTGCATTAGCATAACATATAAATTCAGGTGACTTAAATTATTAGAAAGACAATGGGCATGTTCGCTAACAAACGACCTCTTCAAAGCAATCCTAGTAAGGCATAAGAAATACTAAGAGTAAAGTGCAAGAAGTGCATAACTATATTAACGAAAATAAAATTACAAGTAGGAAAATGAAAAAAAAGTTAACTTAAGGTTCCTGAATCACAAATAATAATAAGTTAAATACATTAAAACAAATTAGGACAAAATTGTATTACAAAAGTCACTAAAGAAATACACACAAGAGGTGTTTATGTGATATCATAGACTTAAAAGTCGTTAAAAGAGATAGTAAATCGCATGGGTACGGGGGCCTATTCCACTATGGGAGGAAAGTTAGGTATAATGCAACTTTTTATATACATATACCTTAGGTGCTAGTGTTTGTAATTAAATACCAACTAACCGGCTGGACAGAATTTGAGGAAACGAGAATGGTTTAGATTTTTTGTCAGCCGTAGATTATAGATCTAATTACCTTTAATCTACGGCTAAAAGTTACTGCGAAACGCGCTAACGAAGTTATTCCAGCCGCAAAGGATATATGTAACTTCTCGACCTTAGCCACTGGGGCCTTTGGGTCAGTCAGTGGTTCGACTGGTCGATGATTCTCACTTTAGGTTGGAGGAACAGTAAACCATCGTTCCTCCACAAGATGATGTTTTTTTTCCACGTGTCCGTAGGATTGTCTGTCCGCTAGTAATATATTATGTGTATTACAACATTTCAATAACATTTATTATAACTTACAAAGTTTTAGTATATACGATATATAGTACAACAATTTCTTACATTTACAGCTAGTAACATCAGTGAACGGACAGCAAGTGTTCCGCTACCCGCTCGACAACGAATGGGCTGAGATTTCTCTCGTGTACGGACAAGACATCAGTGTTATCATCTCTGACTTACATCTTGAGGTAATTTTTAACTATTGTAGATATTTTTATACTATTTTTACTTTTTCTTTTGTTTCGCTGTTAAGAAGACAGTTCTGGTTTAATAGTCATAATTGCAAATGTGTCCCTAAATATTAGGTCCTTACATATGAAATTGGCGTTTTGTATGGGAGGAACAAAAAGTCGAATATTTTTAAATATAATATATTTAATTAATCAAAGTATGAACCATTGTTTTCTATGCACTTTTGCCATCTCATAGGTAGTTCATTGATCCCTTTTCTAAAAAAACCAGTCGGACGGGAATCAATAAAATCTGTGAAGGCGGTTTGGACTGCCCCATCAGAGTTAAATTTTTTCCCTTGCAAGAAGTTTTCCAAATTTCGAAAAAAATGGTAATATGTTGGAGCAAGGTCCGGGGAGTACGGAGGATGTCTAAGACATTCCAATTGAAGCTCTTCTAATTTGGTAGCGGTCTGTTGTGCAGTGTGTGGTCTAGCGTTGTCGTGAAGTAGCAGTGGCGTGGAGCGATTGACCAGCCTAGGTTGTTTAGCCGCTAGCTTTTCCATCATGGTAAGGTAATATCAGCCGTAATAGTCTGGCCAGATTTGAGAAAACTGCAATGAACAATACCGGCACTAGTCCACCAAACGCTTACAAGTAACTTTTTTGGGGTTAATTTTCGCTTGGGGCAGGATTTGGCTGGCTGGCCAGGATCCAACCATTGCGCTGAGCGCTTTCGATTATCGTAAAGAATCCATTTTTCATCACAGGTAATGATTCGGTTTAAAATACCTTCATTATTGTGCCGGTTCAGTAATGTAACGCAGCAGTCGACGCGCGTTTGCCGATTTGCTTCAGTCAATTCGTGAGGCACCCATCTTTCAAGCTTTTTAATCTTCCCAATTTGCTTCAAGTGAATTAAAACAGTTTTATCACTAACACCGCAGCCTGCAGCTAACTCGGACGTGGTTTGCGATGGATCCGCTTCCACAATAGCCTTCAATACTTCATTATCAACTTGGGTCTCAGGCCGTCCACAGGGCTTGTTCTGCAGGTCGAAATTTCCAGAACGAAAACGTTGGAACCAAAAACGAACTGTGTTTTCTTTTGCAACATGACCGCCATACACATCATTCACCCTTCGAGTCGTTTCCGCAGCACTAGTGCCACGGCGGAACTCGTACTCGTAAATAATGCGATACTTTAAGTTTTCCATTTTGTACATGAGTAAATAGCTGTACTAATTTGAATTTGGAATTCCTTACCAAAGAGGAGACCATCGTGATTAATGTGGCCAGTACGAAATACGCCAATTTCATATGTAAGGACCTACTATTTCATTGACTACTCGGGTTTCCTGTCTGTTGTCACGTTTGTACAATAGGTTTTACCTAAATTTGTCGACACGAACTGTCATTCTCATACAAATTTAGTATTCGACTTTCTACACACACTACTGTTAAGGCATCTTGACATTTACAGATTTAATTATCTATGGATTGGCGCGCAATTCGAAATTCAAATTAATTTTATTCGAAAGCTGTTAATTTACTTTCAAACTCAGTCATTTGTTTTTAGATAGATTTTTTGTTTGAATTGAATTTGAATGTGGTAGTTTTTGGCGCCATAGATAAACTTAAATTCGTAGAATTTTTTAATTACCACTAGTCCCGTTCGGTCTTCTACATTAAAGGGATAAACAAACTGACATGAAAATGCCAAAATTTTATAGATAATTTGGGCCAGTACTTTGTATTAATTTTTTATGCTAATCTTCAATTTCAAAGGTAAAGACTTTAATGTACTTTGTTTTCCTGTGCAACTATTGTAGGTTACATTTAATACTCTAACTTTGTATTTTATTTGCCTTTTTCCTGTTTCTATTAGAGTGTAAAAAAGCGTAATATTACAGATTCTAAAGATTTTAAGTATTTACATTACTAACATACACACACTTTTATTTGAAAAATTTACAGTTGCAAGTGAAACAGAACAAAATGGAGTTCACCGTACAAGTACCGTCATATGTATACGCAAACAAAACGGAAGGTCTTTGCGGCGTATGCGCAGGTTATCAGGAACATCTTCTAACAAGCAATGGAACTGTCACAGATAATTTCGATACGGTTTGTATTTTTTGTTTTTATAGAACGTGGGGCAAACGGGCAAGAGGCTTATCTGATGTTAAATGATACCGCTGCTCATGGACACTCTCAATGCCAGAGAGCTCACAAGTGCGTTTCCGGCCTTTAAGAATATAATAATACATAATTTATCAATATTATTGAAATTACGTTTAATAACGCATTAAAAAAAGTTATTAACATCCGCAAAAATGTTTATATACGTATATTTTCTCAAAATGAGGGTAAGAGAATCCCTTATAATTTTTATGTTATTTGTTTTTCTTTAAGTGTAACGTAAAGTGTAAATAAATAAATAAATAAGAATAATAATAATTGTTACGTGTTTACAAGCACATCACAGGGACTGGTGCGACGCCATCTTAATTAAAGAAAGAGTTTTGGTGTTTTGTAAATTACAATTCGTATATTATGTTCTTCACTTATAAAAAAATCTAAAATAGTTGCCAAATATCCTATTATAATATAATACCACGATAATCGTAATACCTCGTAATACATTTAAATTAAACCAAAATCAATATCCCAGTACGGCAAGAGTTGGCAAGCTGTACCCGATGTTCTGAAAACGCTGGAGATCCCTCCACAAGAGCAATGCGGGGAATTACCTCCCACACCCGAATGTGTCTCTCCTCCACCTGAATCTAACCCTTGCTACAACATACATAACGTGGACAAGTTTGGAGCTGTAAGTACCTTTAATTGTTAAAATTTAATCAAATATTCCAGAACTGTTCGTCCTTAAGCGTGTAATCGACTGGGTCCATTTTTTATAATAATTAACACATTAACGCAAACATAGACCCAAAATTGAAAAACATTTAAGGTTTATCACATATAAATGAACTGTGTAAAACTGTACTTACTTAGGGTAAGATTCTGAAACAACTTAGCAAGTGTCACGCTTCTATGTCAAAAATGTTTTAGGTTTTGACAATTGGCATTTCGCACTCGTTTCTGAATCACTCTTAATATAGCGATGCAATGCAGTATTGGCATATTGGCATATGCATGTGACTTTTATGAGGTGTTAGGTGCTTTCCCACGCCGTGCCAGTTGTCTTTGTGTCTATGTACGCATCTACCACTCGCTCCGTGAAAGAAAATATCGTGAGGAAACCGGCAAGTCTCAAATCCAAAAACTGACATATGTCACACAAGGCTGTGTTCCTTGTCTATGAAAAAAAAATGATCAAAGAACATCCGTTTCTTCAATCTGAGGCCAAGACAAAAGTTAGAGTTGTAGCACCACTGGTTTATTATTATTAAGTTAATAGGAACATTATTATCAATATGATTCATACAAACATAATCTTTATATAAACTACGCTTAAAAAACGTTTTTTTTTTCATTAATTTGTCCGATAAAATTTATTCAGATTGAATTTTTGATTTTCGTAAATGAATTTCATACAATAAACAAAATTTGTTCAGTGTCACGCGTTAGTAGACCCGCAGTCATACATACAGAGCTGCGAAGCCGAGCTTTGTGACTTGAACACTACGGACGCGTGTCCAACATTGGAGCGATACGCGGCCGAATGCCGTAAACAGGGTGTGTGTTTGGACTGGAGGACAGATCTTTGCCCGTATACATGGTAAGTAGATTGTTTTATGGATTAAATCTGGCTAAACGTACAGCTCAAGTCGGGGTGTAAATCAAGCATAGTTTAGCGATGGTATATTCAGAATAGACAGAAGAAGAAACCTGGCGTAAGAATCTTAGACAATGGTTTGGTCAAAGCACCAAGTCATTGTTCAGAAGCGCGGCATTCAAAATTAAAGTAGCCATGATGAGCCAACCTTCGAAAGGAGATGGCACTAAGAAGATATCCCGAAACGAAAAATTTCAATAAATTCAATTTTGTTAAAACAAAAATTATGCTGTATGTATGGGTACCCCGGATGTGAACCAAGTTTCTTTCTTCGTGTGTAAGCTTTCTTTTGTAGAAACTTTTGAAAAATTATGCTTATGAACCGGTCAGCAACCTACACTAACCTAGATTATAGGTAATATATTAATTGTACACTGTAGCGCCATTAGAATATTATTGCACAAAGAAAAAACATTATAGGATAAGGAGACAATTATATATTATACAGAACAGGCAATAATTCGTTAGTTATTGTTAAGCTAATGAAATGTCAGAACAGTTTTTAATTTAAAATTTAAAGGTTTTGTAAAATTAATTATTTATATTTTAAAAGCTTTTTAACGCATAAAATATTGTAGTCTTCATCAAATTATGTGCATGTCGAAAGAAAACATTGTAGAGAAATCTAAAATCTGTAAAGATATAAAACCTTAGCCACTGTGGCATTCGGGTCAGACATCAGCCCGAGCTGAGTTGTAAAGGCCCTTAAGGGCAACAGCGACATCCCATTAAGGAAGAATAATGTCCTGTAACTGTCCTTCCTCTACAAATCCTTTTAACAGCCGTGACGATCAATAATTGTAACTTTTTAAATACACACCTTGGTTACAAAAGCTTTTTAAGTTATGCAAAATATGCACTTTGAATTATGTCAAAACAAAATATATAATAATAATTGTTATGTTGATATAAATTGCAGTACTGATTTACATACACGTGACTTTACAGTGAGAATCCTCTCGTATACCGAGCGTGCGTCGATTGTGAACGTACTTGCGAAAACCACGATGAGCTCGAGAAGAATCCTAAGAAGTGCGATCAAGCACCTGTTGAGGGCTGCTTCTGTCCTGAAGGAAAAGTGAGTATTCAGTATAATTTATTACAAATTAAATAGTACATACTTACAATAAATTTCCTATTAACTCAATTCAAATATAATGAAAGTGAAAAGAGATTGTTAGAAGCTCGACGAAAAATAGAGGGTTGTTATAAGTTTGACGTGTCTGTCCTCATATCTCTTAAACAAATACACCGATTATGATGCAGTTTTAATAAAGAAATTTGTGCGTGATGATTCTTACGTATGAACATTACATGTTTCAAAGTCATTATCTCCCTTTGTTCCGGCACAATTGACAAGACTTTTGATGTCTATATATAATTCTACTGTACGTGTGTATGTCACTGATCTCGTCTTTCGCCCGAACCCAATAATCAAGATTACTCAGATTGCTTTCAATCTGACCGTGACGGTCGATCGATCTCCTATCTGCATCCCAATAACCAAACCCTAGGAAGACAATCCATTTTTGGCAACGGATAAAATGCACTTCCTCGTTCCATTTTACCGAGTTTTCACTCATATTTGATAATCAATGTAAACCAAATAAAGTAAATAAAACCTCCAAATAACATTTAAACATACATTTGTATGTTAAAACATAACAAACAGTTTTTTAAATTATTTAAAAAACTGGTGTAAGTTAAAATCTGTTTTAAAATAATTAACTGTTGAAATCAAGCTTTCGTCAACTGTCATTTTATCTATCCACAGACACCGATACGACCTCCCATGGAGAGCTTGTATCGACATATGGCTATTACAATCCGTCGATTGGTTATTGGCACACTTTTTACAACATTTGGATTAAGATTACTATCTCAGGATCACTTTAAGGATTGTCTAGGTTATTGGGTTCGGGCGTTAAACGCCTCTGAATGAATTTTTTGTATGCGTTTGGGTCGCTCCCTGGATATTTTAGATTCACAAATCAGCCCGGCAGATGGCGCTTCAGTCGGTACTTTCATATTTTGTTTCATACCCTAATCGTTTGAAATATCATGCAGGACAACGTCTGTCGAGTCCGCTAATTTAATATATTTATCTAAAACGTTGTTTGTTTGTTTCCCTATACTCCAAAGTAAAATTTTAGGATTTACAGCTTTAAATAATCTTGAGAGCTATAAAATCTATTTCGTGAAGCCTTAAAAACTATTTATCTAGAAACTCAACTAGCACCTTAGCCTTATTTATTAAAACCGAAATATATAATTATATACTTAATACGTTTAGGTCCGAGTAAACAGCACCTGTATCGAGCCATCAAAGTGTTTCCCTTGTGATTCTAACAGCGAACATTATGCGGGAGATGAATGGCAGGTGAGTGCCTTTAATTATATTTTAATTAAATAATTTTCCCGAATTAAGGAAAAAAAACATGATTAATTCCAATTCAATATAGACGTATACGCGTACTTTTAAATACCATAGATAAAAAATATACATTTGAATCTAGAATATATTGATTATTTTAATATCCTGTAGGAGGACGCATGCACAAAATGCACGTGCAGCAAAGTAACGGGCAAGAACATGGCGCACGTAGCGTGCACGACGCAGACGTGCACTGTGCCCGTTTGCAGCGAACAGGATGACCTCGTTAAGATGGCTACTAAGATTGGAGCGTGTTGTCCCGAATATATGTGTGGTAAGATCCTATCTAAGGGGTTTTTTTTTTAATTTGAGAGGTATAACGGCTCTGCAATTCAGTCAAATTAGCGAAAAACTGTGTGGTAATCTTTTATTTCGGCCGCTATTTTAGGGAAATTTGAGTTTTGTATGAATAAATATATGAAAGTATAGCTTGACAATGGCTGAACTTTGTTGAAAATATAGATTGGCACTTGTAGTCCGGTCAATATAGACATTTAAAATAACAAAAAATCCCGGAGAACCGGAGAGACACAGAGAGAGAGAGAATTAGTGGAGAGCTGGGATTTACCATTTCAAATAGAGTTTTATAAATCCCCATCGATCCTATGTGTGCTACCAAAGTTATTCGGGTTCGAAGGTAAAAGTTTCCATCCCTGAGATATCGCAATTCTAAGAGTCACATTATACTTGATATGCACACATTTCCACGCCACCTGTAGTATATGTACTCGGCGCGTGTTTTTTACCGTAGTTTGCCTTGAAGTGGAGTACAACTATCATGACAATTTACAACAATACCTTATTATTGATATTGATTATTATTATAACTTTAGATGATCTAAATAATGACGCTTGTTTTTTAAAATGAGTTGTTCCAAAAAATATGACAATGCATCGTTATTAACATTCTTGAACATTCTACCCGGTGGTAGTATAATCGAAATAGCTTCACGAATAATTGCTTCCGTAGCTTTCAAAGTTTTTAACCGCATGTCTTTTCATTCATTCTTCTTTTTCTTCATCCAAGTGTTTCTTATGTGTAAATATTCTTAAGGGTCTCATATTTTTTATATCTATTTAAATTTCCCAGACTTCATTAATGATGGTAATGTAAACTTTCCAATACGGTTTTTGTTACAGTGCCAAAACCTAAGAAACCAGAAATCAAATGCGAAGAGCCAAAGAAGATGGATTGTGGATTTGGCCAAGTGCTTAAACAGAAGACAAACTCGGACGGATGTCAGGAATTTTCTTGCGGTATGTGTAATATAGTCAATGAGTAAGAATAAACTTTTACTTGAAGGAAATCGTCTTGAACCCAAAAATCGACATAGAGAGAGGTGTTATTTCTTGTCTATAGTTTATCATTAAAAATGTATCTATCCCATACCTCATTACATATTAACCATTGCATGCTGAGTCGCTTGTCCATTAAATTTAATTTTTAAAATATATAATATAATAAAAACTTTAGCACTTTTTTTGGAAGGGGTATAAAATTTTAAACTCGTGTCAGGACACGTGACCTGATCGAAAATTCGTAAGACGGATGGAGAGTAGACAGCTGGCACGGCGTATTTAATGTAACATAAATTGTCATGTTTGTGTACGATAGCGCAATAAATAAATATTGTATTCTACCACATAAATGATAGATACTTTTATACTGATAATTAAAGCAATTCGTGCAAAATTATTCCCTAACCATTCCAAAATATCAAAAAAGCACAACGTTAATACTCAAGTTTTCACTTCTGCCGGCACTCCCGTCGTTTTTTTTAATGTATATTTACCTGTGTAAGATAATTTCGCCTACGTAGACGTCTAGTTTCTATAACCAGAGAACCACTCGTAATTGGTATGAGTTGGTTTTAGTAGTAATAGCTGCCCATATATTCTCTATTATTTACTAGTAGCTTTAAAAATGTAATTATATTTTTAATTATACAGAATGTAAACCCGCCAGCGAATGTGAGGAAATACCCGGAGAGAACGAAGTGGAAATGCTCGAACCGGGCATCGAACGTGTGGTCGACAGCACCGGATGTTGCCCCAAAGCGCAACTCGTGTGTCGTCCCAATAATTGCCCTAAAGCTCCTGATTGTCCCAAGTTCCATACTCTAGAAACAACAAACGCCACTGGCCAGTGTTGCCCGGAATATAAATGCGGTGAGTTATCAATTTATATATTTATTTAACACTCGTTGCAATTATAATAACGCAACAGGCTGCCTTATCGCTTTCCAGCGATGTCTTCTAGGCAACCTTTATTTTATTTACCCTTGTTCTTAATATTTACGTAGAATACAAAGGAATATAAAAGAAAACATATACCTAATACATAGTGCAATTCAAGAGCTTACCACTTCTTAAAAGGCCGGCAACGCACTTGCGAGCCTTCTGGCAATATGAGTGTCCATGGGCGGCGGTATATACATCAGATGAGCCTGTCCGTTTTCCTTCTATTACATTAAAAAAATTGCACTGTGGTGATTGCGATTTTTTGTTAAATCCAAAGATTTGTATATTTGTAACGAATAAACTCAAAAAACTACTTGACTGGATATTTTTTATTATTATAAAGCTAAAATATCCCTGATTAGCTAAATTACTAATTACATAAAACAGACCGTTAGCTGAACTTTATTACAGTTACAGCAAGCTATAATATATTCCAATCAGGTAATTTTGTATGAAGTCATCATCGGAACATGCATGAGTTGAATTTTAGGGTATTTAGATAAAATAGCGAATATATTCTAGAATTGCCAAAGGATAAATGCTTGGTAAACTTGGAATGGGAGGCAGCTTCGCGAGGGGGAGAGAAACCCAGAACCACACCACAGGTCATGCTTAAAGAGGTATGGCACATTGAAATTTATGTATATTTTGAACATTATAAAACATTTTCATATAAATACGATACGGAAAGGAAATACTTTGACCGACAATTTTGGTACGTAACCTAATAATTTTTGAAGGTGAATTTTTGTGTGTCTTTAAACAGTTAATAGTTTCGTCGGAAAATAAAACTAGGATTTCAGATTTATACTACCTTATGAAACTTTAAAGTTTTTTTCTTGTTTTTAATTTCGAATTTTCGGATCAAACGCAAAGTGAATCTCAAACTCCTTTTTTCAAATTTGTTGCTAAGTTTGATTAATTTTAAGCTACATCATTAACGGCCGCTCTCTATACTCGAGCTATAATCTAAAATTATTTCCAATCCAGATTTTCGCAAATTTAGATTAGATCAAAATTCGATCTGTCGAATTCAAAGATATTTCACAAAAACGATCCATCGATCGGTTATTGAAAAGTTTAAGTCAATTTTATGAGAAATGGATTTAACTATCAATCTCTAGTAGTAAAAATTGGATTGGGATTGAGTATAGAAAGCGGCCATAAAGCAGTATCAACTTAGCTTGCGATGTTAAGGAAATATAAATTAATATTTCTTTAGTGCGTTTAAACTAACGCTAATAGACTTTTTATGACTTGTTGACTTTACTAATTACTCAATAAATAAATTATTAGCAGCATAAAATTATAGCAAATTAATATTGCTTATAATATTACAGATAGACTCAGCTTGGCTAGACGGACCGTGTCGATCATGTCGTTGCGTACAGTCGGGTACTGCGCACGCGCAATGCAGTGTCACTGAATGTCCTGCTATCGTCTCGAGTGAACAGTTCGTGGTTGAGGCCCGACCAGTGCCGTTTGCCTGCTGTCCAAGGCCTGTGCAAACTGCCTGTAGACAGGGAGATGTTATATATAAGGTTTGAAGCTAATTTAGACATATAATTACATACATATATATTTTTTTATGATATTAAAAATATAGGCATGTAATGGCATATTAGAGATATAATATTCTATAACTCATCGCCAACAGATTTTCGATACTCATTTTTTTGATCACACAAAACGATTGGAGTATCGAATCGTATGTCAAAAAAAATATCTGACACTTTGTTAAAAAAAGTGCTGGCAAACTTATATTGTCAATAAAATAATAGTAGATAAGGCCATCATCATCAAACTAAATGAACTCGATTTTTTTTTACTATATACCATATCGATTTTTGATGTGTTTTTGAGTATGTTTGCATTTATATTCAACTGTACATGAAAAAAATATATTAATGTTTTTTTTGTCTATGTAATGTACATGAACAATAAAAATAAATAAAATAATGTTCCAGGTCGGCGAGAGTTGGAAGTCGCCAAACAACGCTTGCGAGTCATACCAATGCAAAGAAGTAGCGGACGGGAAGTTGGAAATCGTCACCACCGTACAGAACTGTGATAGCACTTGTCAGCTTGTAAGTGAACATTTCTATATATCGTAATTAATTAAAATTATAATGTACGGACAGTCAACAAAATAGGCTTTTCTCCATAAAAAATGCCTAGATTTCACAGTCCATAGTTTCTTCCACAAGTACTTTTTAGTTAGTCACTGGCTGAATTTACAAGTGGTAAAAGCTACTCGTAATAATTCTGTGAAATAATTTAAACAATAATTATCTAAAACCATAATTGCAGTAAAATAGATAAATTACCAGAGACTGTGGAATCGTTACTATCATTTGTCATCGCTGAAAATGGTTCCTAAAAAGAGTATATTTGAAATTTATTTATATAATTATTAATACCTTCATTAGTTTTATATATATATTGTATAACACTGTAACAATATGTATACTATATCTGTCGTCATACGGGATTGGACGTAATAAATAAAAGATAACGTATGTTTGGATGAGTCCAAAATTTTTAAATCACGTACGTATACGTAGGGCTGGGAATACGTAGCAGCGAGCGTAGACAGTGGCGAATGTTGCGGACACTGCAAGCCTGCTGCTTGTGTCGTCCGAGGGGAGATACACAATGTGTCTGACACCTGGACTTCTCCTGACTTCTGCTCTAACTTCACATGTGCTCTTGTCGACAATACTGTGAGTATACGTGATTTACGACATTTGGCGGCAAAATAATAATCGGAATATATAATAAATACTCAGAAATAACTATTAATTTATAATTCAAGCACTTCTAAATATAAGGTAGAAAAGATTTTATTTTTTATTTTTTCACAATTTCCTATTGCCACAATATACTTATGAAAAAAAAACATATGTTCTACTGTAAGTTGTTGGTAGGTGTATATTAAATATTAAGATATTCATATAAATAATTCATCTATAATGAAAAGTACATTTTGCAGCTTCAAGTCCTATCAGAGAATGAGCAGTGTCCCGAAATACCAGAAGCGATGTTGAAACAGTATGTGTTGAGTGATGAAAAAGTTCCCGGAAAATGCTGCCCCAAACGCGAGCCTACCGCTTGTCGAGTCGGAAACGAGATTTATCAGGTATTGATAAACTGTTTTTGACGTAAGCGGATAAACTAGTTCTCAAAACGTCCGCTACGTGAACTGTCACCAAATATATTTTACTATACAGATAGGTAAGTAAAAATATACCATAGAGTAGAGACTTTTTCTTATTCTCAATAAAAATATTAAAAATATTGTGGAGAACAACCTTCTTTGATTTTTTCGTACATGTTTTGCTTGAGAAAAACATTACGACATCACATTACCACCCTCTATCTTTCATCAACAGGAAGGCCAAACATGGCCAACATCTGACCCGTGTAAGAACGTGACCTGCAGTCGTGATGTCTCTGGAAAACTAACCCAAACAGAGGAAGTACAGAGTTGTGATACACATTGCAAGCGTGGTTGGGCGTACAAGGCCCCGCCTAAGGATAAATGCTGTGGCCACTGTGCCCAAGAACAGTGTGTAGTCGCCGGGGAATTGGAGGAACCTGGTGAATATTTTATTAATTAAAAAGATTTTCAACATTTGTATATTTAATCAGTGACATTATAGATAATTATTATTGTCCCAGGTTCAACATGGAAATCATTGGATAACTGTACAACGTACACGTGCGAGAAGTTAGAAGAGGAGGTGTTCGTGACGTCATCGCGCGTGCAATGTCCGGACTTGTCTGCGTGTGCGCCTGACGATATCGTTACAGAAGACTGCTGTCAAGTTTGTAGGGAAAAGCCGAAATCACAAAGTGAATATTTTTTATTGTTAGGATTACTTTTAATTTACCAAACGCAAACAGTACAATCTAAACGATAACATAATTGTAATTTTTTATGGAGTAAAGCATAAAACGAACTTTAAAACAGCGCTCACGCAGTATTTTAAATATTTTATATTCGTTTTTTCACTTTCTTATATGCCATTTAATGGGGGAAAATCTTACTAAAGTATTAGCTTTTTATGGGCAAAAACATTTAAATTGTAATTTCAGGCAAGTGTGTCCCCGTGGAAGTGAATGCCCAAGATTCAGTGGGTCTGATCCGAATATCCATTGGGTCACATGGTTTGTGTGTCAATAAGGAACCATTGGCTGACTTCCGAGAATGCCGCGGCGCCTGCGATTCGGGAACGCTGTATAACAACCGTAAGTAAAGATACTTGGCTCTAATGCGGCGCCCAGGCCGATTTCAAGTATGAACACGTGCAGAGTAATATTTGTTTTGAAATAGTCATATAATAACGAAAGAGAGTTTGAGTCCTAAAATTTGAAGAAGGATCAGTTTACCTTGAATTCGATTTTGGCGTCTTGAATGATGAAGTTACATTGATATCCGGCAAATTATGCCGCGCAACAAAGGAATCCTGCCCTGCGATTCTGTAACTCTCTTTTCGAACTGAAATGGTGGGAGCTTGTAGTTTTGTGTTTATCAGAATGCCAAATCATAAAATGACTGCTTCACGACTGATTTGAGAGCGACCGCCGATGCGAAAACCGCTGTGTGAGTTCGAAAAGTGAGTTACAGAATCGCAGGGCAGGGGACAGACAGTGATGAAAGAGGTATGCGGCGAAAAATAAGAATTATATATTATACAGTGAAGTTGAAGAAGAGGTTTATTTATTTAACAAAATAAGCTACGATTACACATTACTCCAATGCAGTCATTATTTACATATACATCACATACAAAACAATATATACAAATAGAAAAAACAACACAACATAAACAGTAATAGATTAAAATATTTACAAAAAGACTAGCTATTTCTTACAGTATTGGAATTGACGTGACAGTCAGTCAACTGTCAGTTCAAGTTGACAGTGAAGCGGTGGAAGGCAAACAGTTCAACCTTTTAGAATGTTTACCTAATTTGGCCAAAATCGTCTCGAGTTACCGGTTCGTGGAAACGAACAAGGCCTCAAGTGCAAAAAATTAAAATAGAACTCGAAAACTAAATTTGTATGAAAATTACAGTTAGTGTCAACAAATCTTCGTGTTTTAAATGTCGTTAAAAGGATAAAATTATAAATTTACCTTATTATTGTGTTCCCACAGAAACGGGTTCCCACGACTCTCGTTGCGAATGCTGTACGGCCAGCAGATACGCTCCGATGGTGATCCATCTCTCTTGTGTTGATGGGTCCACGATTCCTCATCGCGTGGCTTCTCCGGCAGAGTGCGTGTGTCGTCAGTGCGGGGAGACCATAGGCGATTGGCCCTTACATGCAAGTACGTGTAAACTGAACTCGTAAATCCATTTATATGTATACTATATGTAATAAAAAAATTTTATTAATAGGTTTTGGTCCAAAATGTTCGTTATATAATTATTTCATAATCAAACGAAAATATATTTGTTCCAACTCATAATTTGTACTTTAGGTTTGAAATTTATAAAGAAAATTTTGTTTTTCAAATCTATTTTTTTACTTATAGAATGAGAGTTTTCAGAGTGGAAACTTCTTTTTGTTCGTTTCGAAGTTGAAATTTGCGTAAAATGCGAAATTTGACTGTCCTTATTTTTTATTTGCTGACAAAATACTCAACTTTTTTAAATTGATGCTTTAACTATTCGACTATTTCCAATTAACTTTGCCATTTTGGGTAGTTACCAAAAACTCACCAACATGATATTTTTGTATATCGTTCAGGTCCCCGACCCCACTACATAAGCACAAACAAGGGCAGAGGTGGGAAGCAAGTTGTACCTGATTTGTACAAACGTTTCGGAGGAGTAGAGGAGTACTAAATATCCAGAAACTTATACAATATATACTCAATTGAAAATAAAAATTAATATTTAAGCTGATTTTTATTTAATCCTTTATTTATTAAATCGAACATATGTATGTATGTATGTCATTAATCACAACAGTAGTTTTTAAACGATATAAATAATAAATATGTCAGTGGCCTCAGGTTGCATATTTGTTTGATCGGCTTACGTACAAAATAAAACAGCTCGTGTAGGTACATGATCAGCCTGATAGTCTAAGATCCGGTTTTTGTATTAATAACTAGTTACTTTCTTTTTATATTATAAAAAATCGAATTATTAAATCAAAATAATAAATACTAGTCAATCAGAGCAATGAAACATAAAACTTTCGCTCGCCTGGAGCAAGAATCATTTATTGAAAGCATGGCAACCTCTGCTTGCGGAAATATAAATTTTCTATTAAAGATTAAAATAAAAACAAATGACTGTAGATCAATACCAAAAATATAAACGTTTACACCTGGCAACCCTTATAACGTTGCGGCTGACAGAGCTGGTAACCGCTTTTTCTTCAATATTTTACATTTCCTTTAAAATGACGTAAAATTGATTAAAGATACACGATTGCAATATATCAGAAAATTAATTATACAATAATTTAAACATTTAACGTGTATTATAATATTTTTATTTATTATAATTATAATTGCAGATAATTTTTACTCCCTCAACATTCATTAAAAATTCATTTCATCAAATAAACTACCTGTACTATGATGATTTACTTACGTTTGCTTCTCCGCCAATGTTAATTGCGCACCAAAAGTCGATTGGACTGCCGGGATTTACGCCCGAACCCAATAACCAGAGAGATAGACCATCTGAAGTAGAAATCTTAATCCAAATGTTGTAACAAGTGTGCCAATAACCAATCGACGGATTGTAATAGCCATCTGTTGATACAAGCTATCCATGGGAGGTCGGATCGGTGTCTGTGGATAGACCTTTGTATGAAAATGACAGTTGACGAAAGCTCGATTCCAACAGTTAATTATTTTAACAGATTTTAACTTACACCAGTTTTTTAAATAATTAAAAACACTGTTGGTTATGTTTTAAACATAAACATGTATATACATATTTTAATGTTATTTGTACGGTTTTATTTACTTTATTTGGTTTACATTGGTTATCAAATACGAGTGTAAACTCGGTAAAATGGAATGACAAAGAGCATTTTATCCGTCGCTAAAAATGGATTGTCTTCGTAGGGTTTGGTTATTGGGATGCAGATAGGAGATCGATCGACTGTCACGGTCTGATCTCAGATTGAAAACAATCTGAGATTGTGGATTAATTATTGGGTTCGGGCGTTAAACGGCTCCTCTCATGAGAGGAGCCTCTCATTGAGAGTATATATGCCACTGGTGTATTTTTTTAGCTTTATGTTAGATTTAAATAAAATATTCATAGTTTTAACAATCGTTTATATCGTCATAATGTACAAAAATTACATAGATTTACTATATTTATATAGAACCTAACAAACCTCAGAATTATTCTATATTACAATATACAAAGCAAATTTTAGTAGCGCCATCTCGGAAAAGCTAAAGGAAGAACAATATTTAAATGTACCTTCGTACGTATTATAAAAAAATCACAACCCAAAATGCAAATTAAATGCAAAATCTGATTTAATAATGTCGCCCGGGTTTGACAATTTAGGTATTAATTATTACTTTTTGATTATTAGTTTATAAATTACTTTGTAGAGGAGCAACCAACCGTTTTATTCTACACAAAATTTAGTTTTTTTATATATCTACGACAATGTAGCAATCACCAATTTTTTTTATATTTCTTCATGGAAAACTTGGATTTATTTTATTAACCGGCGTTAAGTTTTATTTAAAATTGATAGAAAATTAAATTTAATATGAAATTGTGTAGAATTCGCAATTTTATTCTCTAAGGAATTTCGATTAGAATAATTCTTAACATCGCATCACAATAGAGGTTCATCTTCTAGAGGTATGGCTTTATCTGAAGAATCTGTGGGACTGGAACCATCATCTCCATTCTGTTCTTCTTCCTCTTTTTGTTTCTGCTTTTTGAGCATGTCCGATAAATATTTACACCGCTGCATACACTCTTCCTAAAAGAAAAACATTATCGCATTATTAATATTGTTTTTTATTACAGCCTTTTCTAGTTTTGTAAATTGAATTTATTGTTTCTATGGATGCCAATTGGGACATGCACTAATTTATAAACAAATAAATCCATATTTTCTTATAACAGTATTAGTCTAGATCCAGATCTTATACACAAAATAGCAATAGAAAACTATCCGTAATCAATAAATCAATAACTTAAATAAAAGTAACGGACAGATTAACTTTTGTCAAGTTCAATTATATTTGCAGTTTTACTTAATATTAACTCAACATTTGCGTACGGTTATGCAAAGATATAAGACTGCAACGTATTAATCGTATTGCATATTAAATAGAAAAACAATTTCCGTAGAACGCGCAAACGCAGCGAGAAAAAAGGCACTCTGATATTGGTACTACTGACCTAAAAAGCCACTTACTGTGAACTTGCTTTCGCTATTGCATTACCTTACGTGACAAATTTACAATAAATTTTGTGATTTCGTGAATTCATGAGTCCAATGACCCAATCCATGAATAGGCAACATTTAACAATATTTTTGTTCTAAATTTGAGCGATAAGACTAGATAGTATTGAAAGCTTTTATAATTATTAATAGAATTAATCTTTTATATTTTTCTATATTTATTTCGGGAAAAATTTACCCATTCATTCAAAACTCAATTAATAAAAAATACATAAAAATATACTTACTTTAGTCTTCCCTGGAACGTTATTAGCGATTTTCTGCCATCGGTCCCCTGCCCCACCTTTAGGGTATTTGGCTAACGAACCTTCCAACGCTTTCTGTTGGGTTTGGGACCAATTGCTTAATGAACTGGCTGACACGTCGTCCGTCTTACGGGTTTTCACCTTAAAAAATATATATTTTTAAATGGATTATTTTTTTATATTTACATAGTTATGACACAATACATTCCTTATATTATCTAATGTTAGTTGTGTTACATTTAAAAACACACTTTCCCATGACTAAAACCAATTTAGTAGTTCGAACTTAATCTGTTCCGTTCGAATAATTCCTTTTAGGCTACCGAGTCATTTTTATAAGTTTATCATAACTATTTTAATTTATCTTGTGCATTAACAAATATTAAATCTTGATAAAGGTACATACATATATTATAATATAAAGACTCATTTATATTGGATACAGATCTTAGACAAAACATACATTGTCAAAAGCTAGAATTCCTACCTTTTTAGGTGGTTCCGGTGGCACTTCCGGTGTATCCTGAGCAGGCAGCTTATAACAATTTTCTTTTAATTTAGCTGCCATATGCGTAACTTCTGGCACAGATCGGCCCATACTATCTGCTATCCGTTCCCAACGCTCTGGTGCCCCAGGCGGATATTTCTTCACAAGTCTGACTAACTCTACCAGATCATCGTCTGTCCATAACCCGCCTGTGATAACTGGCGGCGCTGGCTTTTGAAATTAACAGATAAATTTTATTTAAAACATGCAATATATTTTATCAATACAAAAAGGGATTATTTAAAAAGTTACCAACAACAGTAAATATATTTAGACATTGTTCTACCAATGAGTTGTCTCGTGACAAAATAGTCTGGTCTGTTACATTCAAAATGCTTCCGCTACCAGCCCATTTATATTTAAGGAGACAAGTTATATGTTACTTGTACCTTAAGTGTTATTTATTTTTTATACATTTATTTATTAAACATATACTTAAAATGACTTGATTAGATACTGATATTGACATAGAAGTACCATTTAATATTAATTAAAAAGTCAAAAACTACAAACTGAAACTATTTTTGGAAAACCAACCTCTTTCATTGGTTTCACAGTTTCATATTCATTTTCCGGTTCATCCACGGGATCTAGAACACATTCTCTTTCCCGGGGAACAAAACCGCGTCGTCGCCTTGGCCCGCTCGCGGCTCGAGTCTCCGCTAACGCTGCTTCACGTTCTTCACGGGCTTTGTCTTCCTCCTCTCTGAGTAAATATTATCATTAAATAAAATTTGTTACCAAGACTCATCTGGTGTATGAACTTCCTATACCAAGAGAACTGATTTATAAAAAAACTAATAATTTATTGTAGAAAAATTAAAAAGCATTGCTCAGAATTTCAATTAATGTGTAAAGCAAATTTAAATTAATGTTAAAACCAATTCTAAAGATAATCAAATATTAAATGTAAACGTAAACTAGATTATGGACTCACTTCTTTTTTCTCCTCTTTTCTTCTTCAAGCTCCTGCTTTTTCCTCTCCTTATAAGCTGCTATTACTGATGGCACAGCAGTTATAGACCACCATACTGCCCTTGGTATTTGGAATGGTAATGTGTCCTTTACACTTGGCTTTGGTAATTGATCTAATATTTCAGCTATGCCTGTCTCAAAGCCTGATCTTTTTTGTTTTCTACCTCTTGAGTTTAATATTTGTTCCTATAAAATTAATTAAAGATAACTAAACTATAATATTTAACTGAAAAAAACCAAATCTATATATACCAAATACATTATCTTAAGGATTGGATTAAATAAAAAATTAAATAGAAGATATTCTGTAATAAATATAATGTGTACTTCAGTTATTAAGGCTAACCATATCAAGGTTTAAATACAAACAATTATTTTAGATTTCCTCTTATAATCATTACATTTTAATAATATAATTTATATAGAAGAATATACTCACCGCAGTGTATTTTTTCTCTATATAAGCAGCCCAACCCACCAAATACTGACCAAATGTGATGATAATAAATAATATAAAGGATCCTTCAGCCAGACCCATTTTTCTGACATGCCGGTAATAGTATATGGCTGATCTCCAGTTAGGAAGACCATTTTTAAGTACCTCATTATACCTAAAAAATTTCAATAATAAGAGTTACATGGAAAAAAGGATAATGTAATGCAAAAGTTTTTTGAGTGTTTAATTTATTATTCAATCAAGAGTTTATAAACTTACTTTTCTCTCTTTCCCTGATCTTTCAGCACATTATGAACCGAGACCAAGTTTCTAAATTGAACATCAGCATCAGGGGCATCATTCTTATCTGGATGTAATTTTAATGTTAATTTTTTAAACGCACTTTTGATTTCTTGCGCTGATGCTTCCTAAAAATAAATAAACAAGTTACTAGCAAATTTTATAATAGTGAATTACTTGTTACATTGCAAAAGAAAAGTACCGAAAGGGTTAGAGTTTAAATTATATAAAATGAGTAATTTTACCGGAGAAACTCCCATTAATTCATAGAAATTTTGATTAACTTCTTCCACCACGTCAAAAACTTCCAAATCGTCCTCGTCCCATGCTTTTACGCTTAGCGAAAGACAAACTAATAAAATCAAACACCGCATCGTAACTACATTTGAGACAATATGTACTATTTAGTCTAATATTAAGTTACGTTAGCTCGTATACAAATTACAAACTGATAAATTATCCAATTCGAAATATCCACATACTTCAAGCAGCTGCTGTTGACAAATTGACAACCTAAATCTGTGTTGACAACTTTCATTCGGATCTTTCCAACTTTTAATTTTTCATTAAACTGTCACACTGATAGCTGACAGTTGTCGCTGGGTTGGGTTGGCACTCTTTTTTTTTTTTTGAGTTTATATCTAGACCTTTAGGCCAAAAGGTTGGCACTCTTGCATTACAAAAGGGGTTACCAAATTAAACAATTTATAGATTTTTTTAAACACTTAAATTGAAGTCATAGAAATTAAGGGACTAGAATTTCCTAGTCAAAGTTTATTTTTCTTATAGTTTAGATTTACCAAAACCAAATAAATTAAACAAAAAATGGCTACTTAGGGTTGTCATGCCATGAAATTTCTTAAAACATGTACACGTATATTATGATTCATTCTTTCATATCTAATAATACCTTTTTTATTTAGAGTTATAAACTTGTTATACGCGACGCCCACCAGTCTATCGAGCACCTTCGTTTATCTACTTGACGGTTTATAAATTGGCGTAATATAGCAAATTTAATTTTATCTACTTAGGTACATATTCTACTAGCAGGCAAGCTACTATAGTCTATATGCCTTTAGCGACGAAATCCCCTAACCATATTTTCTCATAACTTTATTCCTCGTGGCATATTTGCACTTAAAATAAGCATTAAGAATTTTTAATATTGATAGATATTTATATAGATATATTATATAGATATTTGATATTGATAGCATCAACTAAAATGTAATCGGGCTGACAAGGGCTTTTGATTTATTTACATAAAATTTACTCTAATTATTTTATTAAAATAAAATAAAAAAGTAATAAATTTGTCACGTTATGAATTTTAAATAGATACTCTCTACATTCTTACGACGAAAATAATAATTACTATTATTAAGACGTTAAACGTAACCATCACAATGAGAGCTATACTCATCCTTATGTTTCACCGCAAACGTAGAGGACGTGATATTTAGGAGGGAGGGCGGTGGGTCAAGGTGACTAGTTATACATACAGGGTGCCAACCGGCGGGTGGATTATGTGGGTGGACAAGAAAATTCAGTACCGTGCAGCCCCTATCTGGGGTTAAACGTGACGCAGGGATGAAACTCACAAAATAAAATAACCTTATTTCATTGTTAAGTACAGTGCACTAGGACTAGTTTTCTAAATGTAACAAAATAACATTTTGTACTCCATGCATTGCAAAAATCCACTTGGATTCGCAATGTTTTTCTTTATTCTTGGTGCAATTTTTCTTGGAATCATGTCAATTGAATCCTTCGTAAGTACTTTAGGTTGTAACTCTGAATCTTACATTGATAGGTATAATAATAATATATCTAGTTGTATTTTTTTTTAAATATTTTTTTGTGTTTTATTATCATTACAACAAATTAAGCAAACCATAATCTGTTGTCATTATATCATGTCTGTTATATTACAAGAAGGTTACCTAGTATATATTGTAGCGCAATATTAAATGAAATATTCGAAAAAAGAATGTAAATATACTGAAATCTACATTGACAGAACAATCGATCGAAGGGAAAACATGCGCGTTACGTTTTCAGTTTCCCGCGTAAACACAATATGATTTACTCTGTACAATTATTTAACGAGCATAATAATATGTATTTAAAGTTACACAATATAATTCAGTCTGATTTATGATTTTTATAACATTTATATTCATTTACACTTACTTTAATTTCCTTTATTTCTTGTACCAGGTTTACAGTTCTCTTGGGTCTATTCCTGCGTGATCTAACGAAGAAAATGGTACAATATACATTATTGATTTAACTAAGCTTTATTCCAGCTTTATTATTTAAGAATTTAAATAAGCTTAAATATACAATTGCTTAAGTTATTGTTATAACAACATGATATAACTAGGTCATATGTACCATATTTTAGAGGTAAAGACAATCTTTTAAATTTTGATTGCAATTCACTTCTTATTTGAATTGTGAATAATCCTTATACAATAATTATAAAGTATGTGTATTTTATATATTTTGTCACAAAGTTATAAGCGACAAAAGGGGAATATTTAAATACTTTTTCTTCATAAATTTTATGAAGAGCCCGAGACGAGAGGAGAATAATATAGAATTATAAAAGCTTCTATTGGTAAGGCCTAAAATTAAGCATTTAAAATCAAATTCATGTTCAATAACAATACATTGACAGGAAAGAAACTTTACCTTGCTTTAACCTATATATGAATACATATATATTATAAATACATATATGGGTTTAGCAATTTTCAGCGTAGCAACTAATCTTGGTGTCAAGAAAAAAATTATTGGATATAAATTCGTAAAATGATTATAGATAGATATTATTATTAAATCAAATTGCTTATAACATACTTTTAGTATGTATATAATTAGTCTTTACTTAAATAGTCTATGTTCCGGTCTAGCTTACACAATATTTCACAGTGTGCAGCTCAAACACCTTGTTCCGACGGCAAGCACTGCCCACCACACTGGTTGTGCTGCAAGGAAGGATGCTGTTCACCAGCCACTGTGATACCTAGGCATACACCAAGTACATATTATGACGACCAGTGGTATTTATGGTAAGAGTATAAGAGCTTGGCTAACCCACTTTTGTTGATATAAAATATATTCGAGTTATAATCAAAGTAAGATTGTCAAATTAAGTTTAGCATCTTTGTTATTTATTAGTAATCTTACAGCTAACATACATATTATAAAACAAAACACTTAGACAGTATAAAAAGCCAAAACAGATAACATAGATAAACAATATATATGAAACAGAAAAAATAAGCAAGAACAAATAGACAAAAATATTGTTAAAAAATTAAAGAAAACTGAAATTTAACATTAAATAAACAACAATTAATACTTAATATTGCAAGAAAAAAACTAGATTGTTACTGCTTAAACAAAGTCCGCCTCTTCAAATATTTCCTCACATCCTCTTTGGTGAGGTGAAAAATTGCAATATCCTCATAATTAGTGTCATAGTTAGATAACACTCGAAACCTGGGCGAATTATGCAGGTAATTCGAGTTCGTACGAGGTATATGGAACTTTTGTGAGTATCATGTCGCATACGGCCTTACATCGACATATTTACGGTTGTTTATTTATATCCTTAACAGAGTAACTTTTAAGTACATAATAATTTTGCCACTATTATATTTCTCTTTAATATTAGAAATATAACAATCCAAAGTTAATTTTCTGATGTTATTTTTTCAGGCAAATACTATCTCTATTAGCAACAATAGTTGGCATATTAACCATCTTTCTATTGTACCTGATGTGGAAACGGAACGGTGGAATCTACATGTGCTCTTTGTCTTGCTGCTTCCACCGAAATGCTTCAGAGAGAGATTCCGCGGGCTCAGTATATCCGCCGCCAAGATATAGTCGGTGTAGCTCTTTCCATCAGGCGCCGCCGCCGTATTCCGAAGTATGATTTATTTATTTATTAACTAGCTGACCCGGCAAACGTTGTTTTGCCATGTACCTATATTATTTCTAGGAAACATTTTTTAGTTCAATAAAAATAACTATCTACTATAATAAAAAATAGGGGTTAATCGTAGAGGGCTGAAAATTTAGGGTTGTATGTATGTAAAAAAATTAAAAATTAAAATTTCGTCCAAAAAATAAAAATAAAATTTAGGGGTGGACAACCCTATCACTAGGGGTATGAAAAGTAGATAATGCGTTCTCAGACCTACTGAATATGCATATAAAATTTGATAAAAATCGGTTAAGCCGTTTCGGAGGAGTATGGTAACTTACATTGTGGCACGAGAATTTTATATATAAGATGTATTCATTATGAATAGTGCGTGCAATATGTACATTCAAGTTAAAGTAGACTTATCTGTGGATTTCGTTCTTAATTCGAATTCTATTCTAAAAGTAGTCTGTCGTAGAAATAGAAAAATTTTCTCGGACCGCCCATCCGATTACAGGAAGGGAATTATGTTGCTCTTAGGTTTTTGCGCTGTGTTTCGTAATTTGAGGTCTTTTTTGTGATCCTATAATAATGTTTGTCTGTTTAGACTTACGGCCAAAACCAATACGCAATCTCAACCAATTTTGCTGTCATAGACTGACAATTCAATCCATTTCTAAAGAAAAGCATGCCAATATTCAATACATGGACTGAGATACCAATCTAATTATTCAACCAATCGTTCAGAGGGCGGATAAGAGATTGAAGATTGCCCTCTGTATGAAAATGAATGTTTACTCATGCCAACAACCTATCTGTCCATTTTTACAGTTGCTTCGTTGGCCAAATCAATCTCGGATTGCTTCGGTGAAACTCGTATGATTTGGGTTTGGGATTGCGCCTAACTTATTTCATTGGGAAAATTTATTCATCTTCGTCATCTTCCAGTTCTAGTGATAGTGATTTGGAAGTTTAAATGCAATTATCCGATTGGGATAGTAATTCTGAAGCTGGAAGAAGACAGTCTTCTGTGCGAAGACATAAGAAGACAAGAATTTATTATATCCAGAGCCTAAATGACGCCGAATTCACATTTAGATTTAGGTTAACAAAAGAAGCTTTGGAGACACTTTTACACAAAGTGATGTCTATCATATATGACTTCTTGCAGGTTTCATCTTTTCATCAACTTTTGTAAAAAAAAATTAAATATTAGCTACAACCAAAAATATTTGTTACTATAGATACTACCTACTAACTCCACTTCAAAACCTCAAGACTCCAGCAGAACATCTTTATATCGAATCTCAAATACGAAGCAGAAATGTGGTGGAAAGGACATAATATGGTGTTTGGAAAAAATCGGTTCCCCAAAATCGGTTTGTCAAAAAAGGTTTTGCTTCAAGTATCTCGTGTACAAGCCGTGATAGTGGCATGTGCAGTGTTGCACAATATTGCTATTGATATGCGAGATGAACATTTTGAACTACTGCAACAAGTAGATGAACCAGCTGATGATATTGATCAAAGCGCAATTGACAACGTGGGAATTGCAATGTGCGAAGTAATCTTATAAGTGATTATTTTGCTTTATTACTATAATATTTTATAAATTACAACATTTTTGAGATAAATTAAATAAAAATTCAATGCTTTTATTTAAATAAAAATACAAATTTTTAATACAATACATCCTCGCTCCAGGCACAAAATCTATTATTTTTCTAATTTATTTAACAATATATTTTTTTCTATGGCCCATAATCCTCTTTTATGCTCTCTTTCTTCCTCTTCAAATGCCCATTGCTTTCTCTTCTTTAGATGCTCTTCCTTTCAATTGACTTTCATTTCCTTCGACAGACAACAATATCATGTCTTTGACTTTTTCCTCGATAGGGGGTAAGACGAGTAGCAGCACTAGGGCCACCTCCTGTACGATATGTTTCAGCATGTATCAAGACTTTTTTCTTGTAGCCCTCTTTGCTTTAGCACTGCGAAGGTTTACCCCACTTGTGCTATTAAACAGCGCCTCCAGCGTCTTCCAGCACTGCTCTTTCTCCTGCCAGGTGACTGGTCCTCTTTTTTTTTCTAATATATTTTTTGGTCAGCAGCAAGCGAAGTTAGAAGGTCAACTTCTTCCCGGCTGAAATTGACGCTTCTTTCCGTTTTTGCGTGACATTTTTTTAAGTTAAAGAACCAACCTCGAATCACAAAAACAACATACACAAACTACTCAGAGAAAATTTATATTTGTAATAATATGTACTAAAATACTCAATAACCTGACAAACAAAAATACCATATGAAAATGACAGCCCGTTTCGTTACAAGTAATATTAAATGACCAACAAAAAGGTTGAGGTTCTATGTTTTTCTATAGAATTTTGTAACTTTATTTGTTCGTAACAAAAAAACAAACAAAACGTTGCATAGCTATTTGCTACTTTATCCATACATTGTGAAACAGACCCTAAGTCTTACTTATTTTATTTCGTTCCAAAAACAGCAAACTTTTGGTACTATGCTTGAACACAACATATTGCATTGAACGAAACGCGGTCGAGAGGCAAGGATCACGCAAAAGATTGCTGTCAATCTTTTGTCAAATAAACAATCGGATAGCAGAAATGTTTATTGGCATGCAGATTGGAGATCGGTCTTTAGATATGAATCAGTCCAAGATTGGTTATAATCATAGATTGAGGATACATTATTAATTTTGGCCGTTAGCCAGTCAACATTGACATGTTATAGGCGTTATGTATGTACCTATCATTGAAAAAACCCTTTTTTTCAAAATTTTTTTCTCCTCCCCTGCTTTTGTTTTGTGTGGCCTTTTTGGCGCGGCTTTTATTAAATAAAACAAAACGGTTATAAAATATATAAAAATTGCAATGCGCAATATCCATGGATATCTTTTAAGTAGATACTTTCACTTTAACTGTAGCGGACTTTGACACCAGTTGATCTCGATTTTTCCGTCCTAATTAAAAAAAACATTGTATACTAATTGTAATTGATAATAGAATCTGTTTTACACTGAAATAATTTACAGTCATAACTGCCAACATTTGTCTATAGAAACCACATTGTTTGTTTCAGTCGACGGTGTGCGTCAGGCACTGGCTCATCGCCTACTTTTTTTTATATAACAGGGGGCAAACGGGCAGGAGGGTCACTGGTGTTAAGTGATACCGCCGCCCATGAACACTCAATGCCAGAGGGCCCGCGAGTGCGTTGCCGGCCTTAAGTCGAATTGAGGTCGATACTTGTCTATTAAAATAAATTAATGATCGTAAAACGGATATAGACAGTATCTGGGTCTTCTGTATCTTTTCTAAAAGGTTGTAGCGCCACCATTTCTTTTAATTCTTATTTACTACGCCTTTTTAATAAATACATATGTTGTTCTAGGTAACATCAAAGCCAGATCTATATCCCCTCGTAATAACGTGTAATGAAGGGGAGGGGAAGCCTGGTGGTAACTACCTTATGGTTCACTACTTCAGGAACTACGTTATTCGAGCACCTGGTAAAATTATTTAGATTAAGGGAATTTTATTAGCTGTAGTCATGTTCTAGGATAAATCCTAAGAAGACGCGGGGTAAATAGGACAAGATATGCCAAGCGTAACATGCCGGTGAGGTCCCGGTACAATGCGAAAGCGACCCCGAAGCCTCTGTAACGCGGCCTTGTAGGAACAACTCGAGGTGGATAAAGTGGGTATTGCCCATTCTCTGAATAGCAGAGATGCTGGTGTGGGTCGTATCCCCCAATACCCCTGCAGCTTTCGATGGATGTCCACCTCGGATATAAAAAAAAGTCATGTTCTAAAGAAAAATATCTTTAGTTCATGCCCTTTTTGCGAATTGGAAGCTCCAAATCTCAATGCCCTGTAGACTAAATCACGATAAATTATTGAAAAAAGTAAAATTAAAATAATTGAAGGTGTTTTAATACAATAGACAATATTTTACATACTCGATATTAACTTCATGTGTTTTCGCGTGATTGCAATCTATATGTTTTTTCTGATGTTAAGTGATAGACTTACATTGCCAGAAGGCTCCCAAGTGTGTTGCCGGCCTTTTAAGATTAACAATAGATGTTTTTACCTGAGATATTCGGTTTATATATTTTAAGAGCGCATAATTTTAGTTGAATAACTAATATATTCTACAGTAAAATGACCGTAAGCTTTTTATGAATGACACTTGAAATTGGAAATCATGCCCTATCTTTTCCAGGCTCTCTGTCCGCGACTAGCACAGCCGAGTCACTCAACTCAAGTTATATGTGCAACGCTGTTAACGAGGTAAGCGACTTCAAAGTGGACCCATCGTACATTTTATGATGATATTAAACATAATATATTTCTTATTTTTGCTAGCGCATTTGAAACTTGAAACAAGGGGAGTCTAAACAAGTGCCTATCACATACCCAAATTTAAAAATAAAATGGAAAACGATTGAATTTTAAACTTTAAAACGAATTAAGCAAATTATTTGAAATAAATTAGTGTCCGATACTTTACACTGTACTGAGTGAAATATGTTTTAAATGTTGTTGGTTTGCAAGCCAAGCTAGCCGTGCTATAGTATTCGCAGCAGTGAATTAACTTTTTTGTTATTATTTTTTTTTTTTTTTATAGAACGGGGGGCAAACGTGCAGGAGGCTCACCTGATGTTAAGTGACACCGCCGCCCATGGACACTCTCAATGCCAGAGGGCTCGCGAGTGCGTTGCCGGCCTTTTAAGAATTGGTACGCTCTTTTCTTGAAGGACCCTAAGTCGAATTGGTTCGGAAATACTTCAGTGGGCAGCTGATTCCACATAGTGGTGGTGCGCGGCAAAAACTGCCTTGAAAAACGCTCAGTTGTGGAACGGCGGACGTCGAGGTGATACGGGTGGAATTTCGTATTCTGTCTCGACGTCCGATGATGAAACTCAGCTGCAAGTATTAATCCGAACAACTCCTCTGAACACTCTCCATGGTAAATGCGGTAGAAGATGCAGAGTGACCCCACATCTCTTCGCAACGCCAAAGGATCAAGCCGCTCGGAGAGGGATTGGTCGTCGACGATTCGAACCGCTCTGCGTTGTATACGGTCAAGTGGAAGGAGCTGGTACTGGGGAGCCCCCGCCCAGAGGTGAGAGCAGTACTCCATGTGGGGCCGAATTTGCGCTTTATATAGTTGCATGCGGTGGCCCGGAGTGAAGTACCGCCTCGCCTTGCTGAGCACACCAAGCTTTTTGGAGGCTAATTTAGCCTTTCCCTCCAAGTGACCGCGAAACTGAACGTCGTTCGATATGTCAACGCCAAGTATTCCAATGCTGGCTGTGGCTTTAAGAAGAGTGTTTTCGAAAAGAGGAGTAGCGACAAAGGGTGTTTTTTTAGCGGAAAACGCGCAAACTTGTGTCTCCTTGGGGTTAAATTAGACTAGGTCTTGTCTGCCCCAGTCTGCGACTCTACTGCCCGAGAAATACCTGCCCGGCCAGTGTAAAAAGTATCCCCAGTGCTGTCATCCGCATAGCAATGAATGTTGCTAAGTTGCAACATATCATTGATATGCAAAAGAAATAGGGTCGGGGATAGAACACAGCCTTGTGGGACCCCAGCGTTCACAGGTTTAAGGTCGGAACATGCTCCGTCGATGACGACCTTGATGCTCCGATCGGCCAGAAAGCTGGAGATCCAATCGCATAATTTCTCGGGAAGCCCATAGGCTGGAAGCTTCGAGAGCAGTGCTCTGTGCCACACCCGATCGAAGGCTTTCGCTATGTCCAAACTTACCGCCAGCGCCTCCCCCTTGGACTCAATTGCCTCTGCCCACCTATGGGTAAGGTATACAAGGAGATCACCAGCTGAGCGACCACGACGAAAGCCGTACTGAGTATCGCTAATCAACTGGTGGCCCTCTAGATACCACAAGAGCTGGCAATTAATAATGGTTTCCATTATTTTGGAGAACAAGGAGGTTATAGCTATTGGGCGATAGTTGGACGGATCAGAGCGATCGCCTTTTTTAGGGATCGGATGTATCGAAGCGGTCTTCCAGCACTTCGGGACAGTGCCGAGCGAGTACAGGTACCGGAAAAGGCGCGTTAAGACCGGAGCCAACTCAGGAGCACGAGTACGCAGCACAATTGGGGGGATACCATCCGGCCCGCTCGACTTATGAATGTCCAAGGAAGACAGTGCTTTGCGGACAGCACGTTGCCGGAATGTGATTTCCGGCATCGAAGAATCACACCGCGAAATGGTCGGTGGTGATCTTCCTTGGTCATCCAAAGTCGAGTTGGACGCGAAGAGACAGCCCAAAAGGTCGGCCTTCTCCTTCGCAGTGTGGGCCAGAGAGTCATCCTCCCTGTGCAGTGGCGGAATGGCGGGCTGACAAAAATTCCCTTGGACAGCTTTGGCGAGAGACCAGATGGCTCGAGTCCCTGAAGGGAGCTGGGCCAATCTCTCGCCAAATCTGGCAATGTGCTCTGACTTTGCCTTAGTGATTTCCCGTTTGAAGAACCTGGAGGCTGAGCTATATGCTGTTTTAAGTTCGCTGGTATTTTCATCACGAGATTTCGCCGCTTCCGCCCATGCCTTAAAGCATTCTCGCTTTCGACGCGAGGCCGCCTTGCAAGAACGTTTAAACCAGGGCTGAGACTTGCCACCGATCGGCACCGCAGAAAATGGAATAAAGAGTTCCATGCCCTGCAGAACCACTTCGGCGACAGAGGCGGCGACGGATTCTGGAGCTGCCGGCGAAAAGCACATAGGCCCCCAAGGGTAGGACGCAAAGAAAGACCGCATCCCGTCCCAATCTGCTGACTTATAGTGCCAAATACGGCGACAACCCATAAAGCGGGGCCGTGAAGGGCGCGTAGATGGCACAGTACTCCGGACCACACAATGATCCGATGAACCCAATGGCGGGTCAACAGAGACTTGATAGTTCTCCGGATGTGAAGTCAGCAGAAGGTCCAACAAAGAGGGTTTATGACAATCCACATCTGGTATTCGCGTAATCGCAGGGACCATTTGTGTCAGGTCGTAGGCTAAAGCAAAGTCGTGAAAGGATCTTCCCGCGTGATCGGTGGTTTCAGAGCCGAGCCAATCGGCATGGTGGGCGTTAAAATCGCCAAGTATCACGATTTCAGCGGTAGGAACCCTTTCGAGCCGGGAATCTGTAGCCATTTGGATGTGCTCAATGAGTCGGTCAGTTTCGGTATTTCCGCTATGGGACCTATACAGGCATGCGTAGAATCGCGGATGGTCATCGCAGTCTACGCGCAGCCAGACGTTAGATAGGTCCCTAGGAACGATAACTGTTTTTGTTGAGCGCAGAATTGCCCCCCCCCCCCCCCCAGAATACGAAGGGCAGCCTGTGCGTCCACCACCGGGTGCTGAGTGTCCCGGTGTTGGACGCCCAGAGGGGGATTCTCCACCGCGAGCGCGTGTTGTACCCCCCTGGGGTAGATTCTGTTTGTTCTGCACCTTCATATTTCATATGGGGGGGGGGGATGGGCTCCGGGAGTCTCCCTCACGAAACGCGAGTACAATAAGGTGAACCTATTGCATCGCTTCACGCCGGTTTTCTAAGAGACAGTGGTACTGCCCCGGTCGTGCCTGCCCATTTGGCTGAAGCCCGAAGGCAACAGCATGGCACTCCCACTAGGAAGGGGTTGACTGATTGCGCTGATGAAATAACCTCCATCACAGGTTATTTCACCAGTGGGCGATGGGGTCGTCACGTCCCGACGCCAAAATTATGTTGACAACACTGTTGCGTATTTATTTCGACAGTATGCATTTTGATAATATGAAAAATTCAAGGTATATAATTTTTGTGGATACATGAAATTACGGGTAACAACTTATTAATTCTAATTATAAGAGGTCGCATAACTAAATAAAATGAGTTAGGTATATACTACTCTTCGTTATAGGCTAACACAATGGTCCCTCCGCCGTACTCGTGTGCGAGCAGTTACAACGAGTGTAGTATGGGCTGCGGTCGAACAGTGTTGCGGTCATTGACCTCGCTTGCTGAACCAAGGCGGAGGGATTCCAACAACGCTACCTTTAGGGATAACCTTATCAACTCTCCAGTTCAGCCAATGGTAAGCTTATAGTCTTTTCATGTGGTAAGGGTATAATTAGCTTAATGATGTAATGTATAATATAAGAATTGACTTTGACTAATAATGTAAAATTCCTTAAGACAAATTTGCGCGCCATTGTGTGTGGCAGAATATGCGAACGATTTAAGATTGTATCACCTTAACATTTTGTACCATATTCTTTCAATAAATAAATTATTATTATTATTCTCTTATATGTCTAGAAGAGTGCTTAAACTGGACTGATCTGATTGACCAAAATTCACTAATATTTTAGTCGTCAAAACGTAATAGAGACTCTTTCATATATTGTAGCGGCTGAAAAAGCTAAAGCATGCAAATACAGGGTTCTAGGCTCCGAATATGATTATGTCCCATTCGGTGTAGAGACCCTTGGTCCGTGGGGTCCTAGCGCTATAAGGGTTTTTAAGGAAATAACAAATAGGATAGTCGACATCACAGAAGATCGAAGAGCCGGCAGCTACCTCGGACAAAGAATTAGTCTAGCTATTCAAAGGGAGAACGCTGCCAGTATCTTCGGAAGCTTGCCTAAAGGGACTCATTTTAATAATATATTTTAGTTATTATATTATATTTTTAAGGTTTTTAGTTTTAGGTATATATAAAATTATTTTTCTCTTTAAATATCTATAAATTGACCATTTAAAGCAGTGATTCCCAAAGTGGTCTATATCGACCCCTAGGGGTCTATGACAACCAGCAAGGGGTCTATGTCAGCGAAAATAATTTTGGGGATCCACGGTAGTGGATCACAACACATACACTGATTGTACCTATTTACTTACATCATACTATCTTATAATATCAAAACATATACATTATTTATAGAAGTACCTACATATCAGATAAAAAAAAATTATTTTGAGTAGTTTTAATTTAAATTCAATTAATAAATGTATAACTAATGATTAACATGTGTTTTTACTTTAAGTTTTTACAATAAACTTCACTACAGTTAGACATTTACAGGAAATCAATATCAGGTAAGTAGGGGAGGGGGTCTTCCCAACACGGAAAAACATGGCAAGGGGTCTACGACACAAAAAAGTTTGGGGAACTCTGATTTAAAGAATTCTGTTTTCAAATTCTGCTACTCAATTTTTAAAACCTTTATTTTTCTTTTAAATTAAAAGGCTACACAGATAATTTATCTTTAATGAGCTATTAATTTTTTACTTTTATATTACAGGATCCATCGTACGATCTAGACTTAGAGCTTATTGACTGTGAAATGTACTGCGACGGAGGCTGCAAGCCGCGTCTAGGTGCATCTCCTCCCTTACGCCATTCGCACTCCAACTCCGAAGACACCATCTTCGACCACGAAGCGTACGGATTTCGACATCTGTACCCTTCACCTGAAGCTGGCACATGTGAATCTCCACCACAGCCTACAAGTCCTACGCAAACCTCACGAGACTCCACTTTACGACGACTAAGCGAGGACCGACGCCTGAGACGACTGGACATAGGAAAGAAATCGTCTAGAACACGAAAATCGAGCTTATACATGCCCTTATCGGCCGGCTACACCGGAAGAACATCGAGAATTTCGCCGGGGACCAGAATCTCTTCGCGATCGGCCCCGGCCACGCCCTGCGGGGCTCTAGGCCCCAATTTGTTGAACCTCACCCAGAGGGTTTCTGCTTCAAGACTGAGCTCGCGATCTTCGAGACTGGAGGAAGAAAACGATCCGTTATTGGCTACTGATACGGAAAATCAAATCTCTGAACACAAGTTTTAACGTCGAACACAGTAAGAAAGATTGAAAAGTATAGCTGTCTGTTCATTTAGTATTACGTAGACAGATATCTAGAGCACATTTTGATAAAATGAATATTAAATGGACTGAGCATATTGCAACAAACTCTGCGCAAACTCACTGATAGAAGAGTCCTTATAAATGGGATTTCCAGAAGTTACTATGACAGAACCTTACACTAGTCTCTTCACGTCCGGTCTATTCTAAAGCATTATTCTTATGTCCCAAATAACATAAATCTTTTTACACTGTTTTAACTAAATAGTTGACTAGGTATACCTTTGTATGGTGTAACGTAACGATTTTCGAATTCACTTGCAAACTTTGCAGCGCAGCGTTTCGTCACACAAATTGCACAGGCGAAGTGAGTTAGATGTAATTCGAACACAGTTAATCGTCCTTCAATCGTTAAGAGTGTGTATACAGATTTAAATATTAGTAAAAGTATCAGATTACGTAAAATAATTTGGGAAATAAAAGTTCCTTAAAATATGGCCGCATGTCAAATAAACTAAAACATGGCGCCATTTATATAGAATATTCCAGATGTGTACTTTTTAACACTACAAAAATTTATATTTACTACAATTAATTTTTCGTTTTGTGTGCTGACCGCTCTATTACTAAATCCATACAAAACAGATATATGAACGGGCAGCTAACGAATGGATGGATCAACTAAGTAATTAAGAATTATTTAATCCATATATGGGTCATTGAATTATTTGAGATTGCCTTCAAGATAAGACGAGATCAATTTGATGTTGTGATTGTATTTGTAGGATATGCTCATACGTTTACACTTCCATGTATGCTGATTGGTACTTAACAGGAAATTTGTCGTGTATAAAAATTTCCTTCTCGGATTTTATGTGATTTTTTCCAAATGAAACGGCGCTACAATTTCTTAGTTTTTTTTATATATTTGAATTATTTTACGACGCTATATGTATGAATATAAACGGGCACAGACCAACTCTTTTTTATTTAATGATTGGAAATTCCAATCGAGGTGTTTTCGTAAATGGCCATTGCGAAACATTATTTTGTAGTATATTTAACTCAGCCTAACTTCTAACAACAGGTCTGTATGCAATTTAGACACATAGTACAACAATATCCGCTGACGTCGCAATCTTGACGGGCGTTACTAGAATTCAACATTGAATAAGTCTGAATCGCAATCGTTATTTTAAGTTACTGAATGCTGTCCAATTCTGTGCCCGTTTAAGCTATGCACACATAATTTTCGACGTCAAGCTTGTTACTAGGCCAGGGTTTGAAGTGACGGAAGGTTCACGCAATGTATTCTGTACTTAGTATTTAATAACACGGACCAAATTATTTGCAGGCCTACTCTTAAAGCTTGCTTCCAAATTTTGTTTCCCACGACAAATTAAGAATGGCCTAATTAAATGTATTGGGAGAACTTAAATAAGTGTTATGTTTTGTACCGACCAGCTTTAGTGTTTACCAGCGACGTAGGTAGGTAGATAAATGTTAATTAAATATTTTATTTAAGTTATAAATTAAGGAATCGAGCTTGTTGGACCATTGTTCACTTGCGATAAAATTATGTAATAAAATACTTCAGCCTAAGCGTTCTATTTTTTTCCCCTATATATAAGCGAGGTATAAATGTTTACATAAATTATTATTAAATAATTATAATTTTTCAACTAACCTTACTATCATAGCAATATAAAATAATGATCTTAATAATTCGAATAATTTGATTTGTAAAGTCACCTTCATGAAGTTTTGTTTCCATAAAACTTCGCCTTTTTTCTTAATGTCACTTGCAAAAAATACAATTCACACCTGTCAATCTTGTAAACATTTAATCTATTTGCATTTTTAAATTTTAGTAAAGTTTAATATAAAAATAGAAAAAGAATAAAAATGGCAGTGTCGACGGCAATGTTTTTATTCGAAGTTGTTGTTGAAAACGTCAAAAGCTTGGTTGAGAGCCGTCAGATGATGATAAAAAGCGAATTTGCTGATATATTTTCTCTTGAGTTAAAAGACCCTAAACAGATGCATATTGTAATGCCAGAGCCACCACCCCTACCACCGGAGCCACCAGGAAAGAAAAAGGGTAAAGCGAAACCGAAACCTAAAAAGGGCAAGAAAGGCAAAGAGGAGGTACCACCACCCGAGCCTGTAATACAATCAGGACAGTCAGTGTTATTTACAAGTAGTGCAGAATTTTTAATACAAACCATGAAAAAATTTCCCTTAGAGCTATCTTTATGGAGCAAAGAAGATAACTTTTCGTATATTGGAACAACCTACGTTCCATGGGATCAAATGTTCTACACTTATTTAGATAAGATATGTAATGCTCAAGAAGCAACTCCCGTTACCTTAAACGAAGAATACAATATATTCGAAGAGGATACTGCGAAATTGATGACTAAAATATCCATACAAGTCAAACTAACCTATCTTACAGATAAAGTCACTACCTGCTTTCGGACACTTTCGGAAGATTCAACGATCAAGAAAGTTCTTTATACCGGACTTAATTCAAAAACAACCTCATATATGTGCACAATGAAAACCACTGATGAAGATTTCGAAGAAAATTGCAATAAAGTTGAAAATAATTACATAGTAGATAAACCAAAACCCAACAAAATCGTTTATGCAGATTACAAAAACGCCCCAGGAGCGAATCTTACATTTTTCAACGATGGTGATTATTGTTGCATGAGCCATGCAGACAAACCTCCTGAATCTATATATAAGGCACCAGAAACTTGTCCCGACATCAATTTCATCATCGACTATGTAAGAAAAATTATAGTATCATGTAATGACAACATGCGCATGCTGACGCCGCGTCCTGCGATCAAACCAAGAATAAAAGCAACTGACATCGATAGACTTTGCTACTGTAAAGAAACTAGTTGGCCTGGAGGTCAATTCGCTGAAAGGTTCCGAAAACAAGCACAGTCTGAACCATGCCCGGTATGTATAAACGCTGGGAAGAAGCCAGAAGGATCAAGAGCTGCAACCTTTGATATTGCTAACATAAGAGGCCCTTGTGGTAGACCTGATTGTAGAATCGCTAGAGACTTAAGAGCTTACATTGAGAAACTTGTCGAAGAAGACAATGAAGAGATCAATATTGACGATATTATAGGACCGTGTGGAAGCAGCAAGTGTACAATCGCTGAAAAAATTCAACAAATCTTAAGGCATGAGGGAGATTTTAGTCAGGGTAGTAATTTGGAGGGTTTATCCACACAATGTGCATGTATCAAACAAATGCAAGATGCATTGAACAAAAAAGAAGAAGTTTGCGATGAAGTTTGTAGCAAGGAATGCGATGATAGCGATAGTGAAGCTAGTCGATGTGATGGAGAGGCATGTCCATTTAACAAAACTCAAAAAGTTTATGATGTATATTATTTCACAGTCGAGCATGACTTTTCTAAAGGATCTGGTACCAGTTCACCTGACACAGAAAAATCTTCCAAATATAAATATTGCTCTGCAGATTGTCCAAGTGCAAAAGCTTCCGAGAAAGTATCTTGCTCTAAAACTACGTGTTCTTCTCTCAACAAAAAAAGTGAAGAGCAAGTTATGGCCGAAGAAGATAAATGTACAGATCTTGTGTGTCCAATCAAAGGTGTATTTCCACCTAGTCCGGCTGATAGTGACATAGAAATAGATTTTAATGATATACACAACCCTTGCTGCGTTAAATCATGTGATGTCGCAGAGAAGGTGAAAGACTTTATAGTGGATGGAGTTTTGAGCAAGAAGAAGAAAACCACCCAAGAAGACGACCCATGCTATTGCGACTGTGTATGTACTTTTAAGTTTTCTAAGAATACTACTTATTGTGCGGTTTGTGGTGGTTACGAATGCTTAGGTGAAGATGTAAAAGAAATGCCTGAATATGCAAAACCTCATCCATGTCCTGTTTACCATAAACTGTACGATAAAAAATACATTAAAACGCCAAACCCATGGCCAGAAGAAGATTTAGCTTTAAAACAGCCAGACACAATGAGTAATAAAAGTTCAAGAACAACTGGATCGAAATTAACAACAGCCGAAAAAAGATTAACTGTTTCTAGATCAATGAAATCAATCGGTGACCGTAAATCTGATAAGAAAGAAAAAAGTACCGAAAAGGTAAAAAAAACCAAAGAAGAGAAAAAGAAAGTTGGTAAATTTACCGCAAATGTACCCGAACCTGGTAGGTATTTATATAACTGCTATATAAAACTATGTTATGACAAACGCAAATAACAATCACAATTTATAGTGTTCGATAAATTTCTATATCTTTTCGAGTCACGTCAAGGCTTTTTAATCTTTTTTAAAATTAATTTCCCTGGTTAGATAGATATCGATAGATATTTACAGTATAGAACACAGTACATAGTATGGTTTTACTTCCTGCAGCGGCTGCACAAATAGTACCTGTTGAAAAGAAACCAGAGCCTAAGTATCCTTACCCACCCGTTCCTAAGCACATGGGCTGGAATTGGACAGCAGAAGATATTCCGGGTTTGAAGGTACAAATGGATATTAAACTTTACCAGTGCATTTAACGTAAGGCTTGTTTCCTTAAAAATATCATAGTCGACCTATCATGGTATGATACAGATTTAGCTTACTTTTAAGTGCCAACCCTAACAGCAATTAGTATGCCTTTATTTTTAAATAATTAGAATTTTTTGTGAAAGATTCAATTTTTTTTTAATTATTTAAAAATAAAGAAAATATTAAAGGTTTTCGTTTCGTTCAGGAATTGATCTCACTGAAAAAAAAAATGTTTTCAGCCTCGACCAATGTGGAGGCCTGGTGCAGCAAACAAAATTTTAGTGAGACGGTACAGAGCTTTACTCGAAGGAGTCGATGTTGTAGCTAAAAAGAAACGCGCTATGATGCAACGAAAAAAGAAAGTAGACATGAAACCTACAATAATAGTGAAAAAACAGGATGGTGAATATACTGTTCACATGGAAGTGTTAAAGAAGTATTCTAAAGAACGACTATTGTTCCAAAATCCATTTGATGATAAGCCACCCCTAATATATACAATAGGAAAAACCGAGGAGGAAAAAAATAAAATTAGAAGACAGCGTGAAAGGAGAGAACGTCGAGAAACAAGACGCAAGAGTCGGTTACTGCAATCGACATTTAGAGATAAGTGTCAGGAGATCTGTTTAAAGGCATACAATCAAGCGATTGGTTTACTGCCGCTTCCTAATCCTAACAGTCCTGATTGTCCCTGTCACACAGACGCTGCACAAAATGTTAGTCCACCGATAGATTCCTGTTCATGCTCTGATGAAGGCTCTATATCCAGTAGCGACACAGATGGTGATGAGTGGGAGATTCAGTTCTCACCTCCCGCAGCTCGGTGGGATGTTAAAGCAAAGCATCCACCATCAGTTATGGATAATGACAGTCAATATACTTATCTAGATTATAAAGTTAAATTGCTTGATAAAAGTGGGAATCCTGTTCCACGATTCTTTAAAGGCCCTGACGGAAAGCAAGAGTGTAGTGATCTAGGCGGTTTTTGGGGACCAGGTCACGTCTGGTTAGAAATAAACAAAGATGGATACATAGGGCCAGATGTAAGGTGGGTTCCCATGAACTTTACTGGACCAGATGGAATGTATTATTCGGCTGAGGAAGGTTTCTTTACTGAAAGTACTGGTAAAACCCTCAAAATTGGAATAGATGGTTATATAGATAAAGATGGTAAGTGGGCGTGGTATTCAAAACGAAGATCTCGAAGTCCTAGATCAACTATTACAGCAACAACAGCTGAATCAAAGAAGTCGGCTAGACCAGCAACCCACTCTAAAGCGACTGAAGACGCAAAACCAAAAGGTAACGTTCGATCTCAAGGAAAAGAAAGCCCAAAACCAGCTTTAGCAAAAGGGCCTTCGGATAAAACAAAGAAAACTGTTTCGTATTCATCAAAGGCAAAGAGTCCAGTTGTAATGAGTTTAGCAGTTAACTACGATAAAAATAGATCACCACAATCTGACTACCCCAAACATAAATTTATAGAGCCTAAAACACTAGCAAAGTATAAAGAAATAATGAGAGATCTCTCAATGTATGATGATTTAATGTTTGATACAAAACCTCCCATTAAAACGAGCCGAGCTTCAAACACACCAAAAAAGCGATTAGGATCATCGTGGAATAATAGAGGTAGAAATACGAAGTCCAATGTCCCTGCTGTTATTTCCTCAGATGGAACTCACGCTTATAATGTCCAAGATGAATATTTGAATGTTTTCTGCTCAAAATGTGCTTAAAAATAGTATCAAAGAATGTTGTGAAACCGCTTAACTGCTTGTTGTGATAACGCTTCATCAAACTACAGCTAGTGATATTCAGCATTAAAATTGTTATTAAATAAATAAATAGTGTCTTAAGGGTCTACAGTTATTTGAAAATTTTTCCTTTATCGAAGTTTGTAAAAACATGATGGTTATAAGCGTGCGATGACTCGACGAACCACGACCGTACTCGCGAAATGAAACTCGAAGTGGAGTTATAAATGTCCCATGTTCGTCAAACGTAGTCGTAATAAGTTATAAAATTACAAGACGAAGCTTATGAATAAGTTCCGTCCGAAACGGCTGCGTAAATATATCTGGTACTTTTTTTTATTTTTTAATATTTTTTTTAAAGGAATAAGGCCTAAAACTACATGGTGGTAACGCCGACCGTTTCCCGTCGACAATATTCGGCAGCCAGCTTCGACTTGATCCTTGCTTCAATAATTTTGCTTTTTATCCGCAACAACTAAATTACTACTACACCAGACCATAATATAACATGACAACATAACGCAACGTAACGTAACGTAACAACTTTAGATTTTAAAGAAATTTTATTAAAACTTAATATTTTGACAAACAATTTTGAAGTAACTTTTGAAAAGGATAAATTATTGTTCGAATGGATTATTAATAAGATTTTACAACATTCATCTCACAATCGATACAATATCGATAAAGAGCCAAGTTTATCAACATATTTTTGAAGTTATACTTCTTTAGGCGCGTTATGAAAAATTTATGAGAGTGAAATTTTACGATGCGCGCGCACCTGTGACACAAAATTGGGAGTGTGATTATAGCGTGCGCGAGCGAGATAGGAATAAGACAATCTACAAGTAAAAAGAAATAGAATATGCGTGAAGTTCGTATGCCAAGAATTTTGAATGACCATAATGACATTTGTCATTTACCTTTTAAACAAATAAAGGAGTTTTGATTAATTTTTCAAAGAAATTTATTAATTTTATATTGTGCAATACTGCCAAAGCTACAACATACTTCTTAGTGTTTGGTAGAGATGTTCTAAATATATAATTATATATACTTTTAACTAAATAGAATTTATGTTACACTTAATGTAAGAGAATAATAATAAATAATTATTTATTTAATTTTTCAAATGTAAACTGAACTTAATTGACTATAATGACTCCTTTTCCAGTCTTTGATTATTTAATTGTAATTAATTATTTGCATGCAATCAAAAACTATTTTTAATAATGCCAAAGAAGTATAACTTCTTACGCGCGTACATAAGTACACGCACCCTTTTTTTTAAATTGAAGAATTAAATTCAGAATTTTTATCTATTTAAGAAATAGGAGTGCCATGTATGTATTGGATGTCAAGATCTTTTGCAATGATGACCACTTAATTAATAATGAAAAGTTATTTTTAATAAGATTATATATAAGATATAAATGTAAATGATATAGATATTTATGTATTTATACGAAACAATATGCATGCTTAAAAATACAAGGCAATATCACGTATCAATTTTTACACACATACACATTATTAGAACATAGAAATTACAAACAAGCAAGGAAAAAAATCATAAACGCAAAGAACAAAAATGTAGGCAAACACCAAAAATAAGAAACTCAAATTGAAACTAAAACTAAAACAGACTTAATTAATATACGTAACTCAACCCAAAACTTAAATCAGATAGACAGAGTTATTGTAGTATTGAGATATGAATTTTAAACGAAAAATTGACACCTTACTATTTTTTTCTAATAATCCACAGATAAGGAAACTTATTATTCGGGGGCCTATTTTTCTTGTGTTTTCTATTTTAGATATAGATATAAGTTATGGTCTCTTGATAGTGGCATAGTGCATAATATGTTTCAGAGAATAAAATTTTTAAACCTTGAACTAAAAGTATAAACAACCTTTTTAGGAAAAATACAAAACATTACGAAATATGAAAGCTTGACATTCATTCATTCATTTATTTTCGGCAATGTAAATTACAAGTAAAATTAAAATTTTAATAAATTATTTTAAATTATATCTTGTAGAACTATAGATAGTAAGGAGTTTTTATGATTCATGTTAAGGTAGAATTGTAACTTTAATATGGCTTCTTCGGATTCAATGTTTTTATTTGAGTTCATTGTTGAAAAATTTAGGAGCGGCTTAGATTCTGAAACCATTTATTTCAAGGCCAACTTCAAAGACGTGTTTGATATATCCTTGGACAATCAACATGAAATCAAATCAAAGGTAAAAAGGAAGAAAACTAAAATTAGAACTATTAAATCGAAAGAAGAGACGCGGAAAGTATCATTAACTAAAATTAAAATAGGAGGGTCAATATTAATAAGCATGATACCGCAACAACTTATAAATACTATGTTTAACAATGAATTGGAAGTATCTCTGTGGAATAAAAATTTAAATAGAAAGCTCGGTTCAGTGATGATTCCTTGGGCACAGTCCTATTTAAACTACATATCAACTTCAGAATACGATCAAAATAAGGTACCCGTGTATGTGAGAAAAGTATATACCATATGCAATAACTTCAATAAAAAAATTGCTTTAGTAAAATTGAAAGTAAAGCTTTCTTATTTCGAAGCACAAAGAAATAACGAACTAATACCAAAGACTCTTGCCTATGATGTAACAAAGTCATCAAAGTTATATTCTGATATAAATAAAATTGAACAAATAGATAAACAGCATGGCGTTATCAAAACAACATACAGTGGTAATAAAATTATGAAAAGCACAAAAACAAATAAAGATTACAAATCAAAACTTAAGCCAATTTTTGATAGTCAAAGTACAAAAAATGTTGAGAATAAGGAAAATGCTATAGAAGACAATATAACTTCTGAGGAACAAGCAAAAGATGATGCGAAATCGGAGAAGATAAGAAATACAAGAGTTTTGAGCAAGTCAAAATCTTTGACAAAGATTGAAAAAATGCGTTATAAGCCCTTGCATTACATATTTGGAGACCCAAAGGGGCAATTTGGAGGCAAGACCTACTGTGTGAACTATTGTACTGTGGAAAAAGAATTATCAAACCAAACATCTAAATCTTCTATACCTGACAAATCTCCATCTAATAAATCAATCCCATCCAAAGCCAAGTTTAAATTTAAGCCGTGTGATAGCGAATGTCAAGTTATGAAAAACAGATCGGGTTCTTGTCCAGCAAGTACGTGTACGTTAGACCTTCCTGAGGAAGCCGCTCCTCTAATTAGTATTGCGAAATGTAAACAGGTAGTTTGTGATAACAAACAGCACAGAGTACTTCCACCACCAGCGGATGATCGGATTCTATTAGATCTATCAAATATGGAAAGAGATTGTTGTGATCAAACTGATATGACCAAAATGGTTGAAGAGGTAATTGGTGGTGTGACAGCCAAGATGAAAGTTGGTAAAGACCCTTGCTATTGTTCGTGTGAATGCAGATTCGGTTTCATGAAGAAAACGACATACTGCGGAGTATGTGGCGGTTACGAAATGATTGGAGAAGAATTAGCAGGAAAACAGATAAAAGAAGTATTTCCATGTCCCTTCTATCATAAACTTATTGATAAGAATAAGTTAAAAACATTGAGCACTACTGGAAGTGACAGTAAGAAGAAAGGTGACGATGTAAGTGTAAAAGCGATGAAAGTTAGTTCAAGCCAGAAAGCAACAGCATCTGAAAAGCGCACCCCATCAGCTGTTACTGAAAAGAAAAGCGTTGAATCCGAAAAAGATAGCAAAAAAAGTAAAAAGAAAAAGAAAGATGATCGATTTAAATTCAATTACGGCTATAAAGGTATACGTACGTATTGTACATTGGTATATTTCTTTTAATTAATGTTTATATTTTGAAAATATGACTTTGAGTAATATAACATAATTTTAGCTCCTCAAATTGGACACAGTAGATGTGCATTTCCTTGTACTGGCACATTGAATAATGTGCCGAAAAAGATGGGTTGGCTCTGGACTGCTGAAGATATACCAGGAATGAAGGTAAATACATAGTAGATTAAACCGTAAAAAAAAATCTGCATTTATTTATTTTTTTCCTTATCTTTTTTTTTTAATTTTGTTTTTTTGTTTTTTAGTTTCGCCCAGGCTGGAAACCTGGTGCCACTAATAAACACGTGGTTAGATTACTTAGAATGGCAAGAAATCCGGGTGAAGTTTTGCTGCCTAAAAGAAAAGACGAGAAGCGTCAAAGAAGAAACCTTTATTACGCCCTCTTCTTATAGTTCACAAGAAAGAGGGTGAATTTACCGTAACAATGGAAACTATGAAGACTTACGCTAAGCCCAGGGCTGTTAATCAATGTCCTTATGAAGATAAACCTGTACTCACATATACAATAGGAAGAACTGAAGAAGAGAATAAAGAAAGAAAGAAGAAAAAAGAGCGGGAACAAAGGCGACTTGAAAGAGCACAACGACAGTTTATTCAAAGCGCATTTAAAGATATGTGCCGTGAAATTTGCTTGAAAACTTACCAACAGGCATTGGGTATCCTACCCGACGCGGAGGACCCCGAATGTACTTGCTACCCGGCTTTACCGTCAGCAGACAGAACTAATTTAGATCTTTCATGTTCTTGCTCTCAGGATGAATCTTCTATTGGATCTGATACAGATTCCGATGAATGGATAGTAGAGTTTACACCTCCATGTGCTACATTCAAACCGACTTCGAAAACCAAAAAAGTAACTAAGTCAGATAACAGCACCCAGTACACTTACTTGGATTACAGAGTAAAATTACTGGATCGATTTGGTAACCCTGTTCCTAGGTACTTTAAAGGACCAGATGGTAAACAACAATGTAGTGACTTGGGTGGTTTTTGGGGACCAGATAAAAAATGGCTTACTATTAATATTGATGGTTATATAGCGCCTGATGGACGTTGGGCGCCTAATTACTTTATTGGGCCAAATGGAGAGAATGTCGAAGGTGCAGCTGGAAAATTTCAATCCGCTAATAATAACTGGTTAGTGGTTGGTGTAGATGGGTTCGTAGACTGTCAAGGTAGATGGAGATTCTATCCAAAACCTAGAGGAATGCTGCCCGATAAAAAACGTCAAGATTCCAAGAAAACAGGCGCTCGTACTGGTGCTGCCGACAAAAAGAATAAAGAAGACACGGCTGCTCCCAAATCTGATGCGAGCTGGAGTTGCTTTGGCGGTGCTTCGGCTACAGAACTATCAAAATTAGGCATCATTGGTCATGGTCACGACAAAAAGTTACTTTTGACAGCCTTAAAGGAATTGCTGGCCCAAGGAGAAAATGTTAAGATACCTCAACCATCGACAGTTTACCGTCTACCACCTTCCAAGAAGCGTCGAAGGATGCCAACTAAACAGTCTCGTACTCACTATGAAGAACGGTCAAGATGCACGCATTCTTTGCCATCGGACAAGGGTATAGTAGCAGTAGATGATAAGGGGAACAAAACTTATTTCCGCTTAAAAGGAGGTAAAAACGTAAGGCCTAAACAAAGGCTGAAGGAACTAACAAGGCGTGGTATAAGTTTGAGCTCTTTCCACGTTCCGTGTTTACACTCATTTATAGGTACAGAGTTGATGAAAAAACAGCAGAGGGCACGCTTAATAGCCCTGTCGACTAAGAACGCTGGCACTCAAAAGTATTAAGGGAGTCGCATATTTATTGTGTCCAACATATTGTTTTAATGTAAGATTATGTGTGGCGATGTGAAATATTATTTTGTATTTGGTATTGTACTAAGTTAAATTTTGTAACGTTTATATAAGATTAAGTGTCATTATGTTAGTAAATTATATCCGTTCTTTTTTATTTTTATTTAGGCATAGGTAAACAATATTCGAAAACGTACAATAATTGAAAGTAAGCATTTTTTTTAATTTCATTACCATTTTCGTAAATCACAGAAATAATAACTTTTTCTATGTTTAGGTGAAATATGGGTGGAAACCTGGCGCGATTTCCAAACGCCTCTTGAAAATGCTTAATAAAGCGAAATTACGAAAATCTGTCGTTACTGAAGTTAAACAAGTTAAACGACAAAAGAAACACACAGAACCCAAACCTCTTATAACAGTTGGCAAAACAAACGGGAAATACCATATTGAAATGCAAGTTTCTGAAAATGACGAACACACACCGTTAATATACGACATTGAAAGTGTGAATAACAAAGCCAAATTGAGAAAGAGAGAGAAATTACAGAAATATCTAACTTCCAATGCTGTAAAAAACGTGTGGACGGATCCATTTCACCCACAAAATTGTGAAAATATTTGTCTTAAATCGTTTTACGAAGCTATGGGAATTACAGCGCCAGAGACAGTTCCGGAAAACATTGAAGAAAATAGTTGCACATGTGAAGATGAAGAGGTATCTTCAAGCTGTGATTCTTCAGAAGTCGATTGGGTGATACATTTTACACCACCTATATCTAATTATCTTCGTTCACAATTATCTAATGTTGAAGAAATTAACTTAAACCAACAGATGAAATGAATTGCGTTCGGATTTGTGAAGTAAATAAAACATTGATCTAATATTATCTCTTTTTTTCAAAAGTTACATTTAACATGTCCCATATAACAAGTGATAATGTTGTGTGTGGAGCTATTCTTAAATAAAGAGGTCCAAATCCTTTATAAAGTCCATACACGCCTTCTGTCTTCAATATTTTCTTAAGGCAATCGAAAACACCTTTGTACAACTGATCACCTTTTGACGCGGCACCTGTAATAAAAAAAATTGTATGACTACATTCTTAAACATTTCATACACATACAGAGAAATTTTAAAAATAAAACAAGGCTTCTTAAAAGTTAAGCGTATCCCTCAGTAATAAATGACAGATGAGTTACCCATCGGGTACCAGAATCTAGCTTATTGCTTAATATAAAAAGAAGTGTGTTAAAGAGTGGCGGAAAGTTTATTTCCAGTTCTTCTCTTCCGTTCTACGCCCTTGATTTGAGAACTGGCATCAAATGTAAAATTAGAAGCATTGATTATATTTTTTTTTTTTTTTTTGACGTTCATAAGTGTACATTGTGTTACCTATGGAGGCCCGATCTAAATGGGGATTACCGAGCGCGTAGAGACTATTGGGATGCAAAGCTTAGATAATAAGTAGAAAAATTTATATGTAAATCCTTTTCATCGGTGGGGGAAGCGGCTATAGATAGTTAAATATGTAAAAAAACTGTTGCATGGACATCCTCGGCGCGTCAGTATTGTGCTCTATGCCCTGTATTTTTATATGTCGTATGTTTCTGTCGTTTGCTGTGCGGGTGTGTATTGGGTTGAATGATTATCGAGCGGTCGTTTCTGGGTTTATCCCCTTCACTTCTGCGATTTCGTGGGCGCAAACCACGGCCATTTTCATAATTTGCAAAAAACATTTTGAAATACTCAAGCGCGTAGTTGTTTGTGGTTCTCTTTTGTTCTAAACGTCTGTCTCATTCTGCGTTTCTAGGGTTCGCCTGTCTGACGCGGTTCCTAGGGCCATCCCTCTCCCGCTTTCCTTCCTGGCGCTTTTGTATTTTGGCTCGCTTGTTCAAGATTATTTCTTGCTTTGGCTCCCGCTCGATCTGTGTTTCTTTTTTCCCGCAATAACTTTGTGTCACGTTTTTGCTCCATAGTAATTTTGAATTTTAATTGCGACCACAAATTTCGGGTTCCCGAAAAAACTTTTTCGGGTCTTTCGTTCCGTTCCGCGCGCTTCTTAAAAAAAATTTTTTTTTTTTTTTTTTTTTTTTTTGTGTTTTTTCCCTTTTTTTCTTTTTTTTTTTTTTTTTTTTTTGCCTCAAAATAAAAAATTGACCTCGTGTCGGTGCTTTTCCCCCCCCCCCCCCCCTCCCCCCCCCCCCTCTTTTTTTTTTTTTTTTTTTTTTTTTTTCCCCCCCCCCCCCCTTCTTCCCCCCTTTTTTTTTCTTTTTTTTTTTTTTCCCCCCCCCCCCCCCCCCCCCCCCTTTTTTCCCCCTTTTTTTGACAAACCCCCCCCCCCTTTTTTTTTTCCCCCCCCCTTTTTAAACCCCAAACCCCCCCTTTGGCCCCTTTATGAATAAATGATTTTGACTTTGACTTTGACTATATTCTGCGGTGTAAATCTTGAGAAACAAGAAATGTAATGCAGTGCAGGGAAAAGAAAGATGACAAATAATGGTATCTTGTTGATTACACAAATGTGACGAAGAAGTAAAGATGACCCCCAAATGGGTTGCAAAGAAAAATAATGCCAAGAAAACACAATAAGTGAAAGAGTTTTGGCAGTTGGACATTACCCTGATTAAATATACGTGTAGTGACAACGTCCAGTGGGGTTTCCAATAGGACACTCAAGACGCCACATGCTAAGCTGGCGACGCAGGCTAGAAGAGCTGGTGAATTCTGACAGAAGCCATTCGCGAGAAGTTGCTCTTTCAGTCTGCAAATCAAATCTAGTTTCTTAACACATATCGAATGCGATTTAATGATATAATTAGTAACAAGGCGAACAAAATGAAATATTAGTAGATATAGGCTATGAAGTCGAGGGTGATAATTACCCTGATTATACAGTCGTACGCTGACGACGTCAAATGGACATATGACTGCAGAAACCACGGCTCCGCTAAGAGCACTAGCCAGGAACGCTAAGCATAGCCTTGAATTTGTACTTATTCCGTGACTCAGCAAGGTTTCTTTAGCACTGCAGACAAATTCTGTGTTAACTGAATAATCTCTCTTATTATAGGTACATATAAATATTATCTGATATATACATAGATGTGGGCAGTGTTGGCCTAGTGGCTTCAGCGTGCGACTCTCAACCCTGAGGTGGTAGGTTAGATCCCCAGCTGTGCACCAATGGACTTTCATTCTATGTGCGCATTTAACATTCGCTCGAACGGTGAAGGAAAACATCGTGAGGAAACCGGCTTGCCTTAGACCCAAAAAGTCGAGGGCGTACGTCAGGCACAGAAGGCTGATCATCTACTTACTTGCCTATTAGATAAAAAATTATCATGAAACAGATACAGAAATCTGAAGCCCAAATAAGGTTGTAGCGCCATTGAATTATTTTTTATATTTTTTTAAACATAGATATAATAATAACTCGTATACTAATATTCATGCATTACCATAAGTAAAAGCTCTCTTGTATTAACCTAACTACTACTAACTAATATCGGAGCAATAAAATTTATCGATTGAAACCTTAGTCTAAGACTCTTAAGTCTTAGAATCGTTCCATGAAATTGATATATGTAATATACGTTAATTTTTCTTGTCAACTCAAGGTTGTTGACTATGTACATTATATACATAACAATATGTTATATCAGTATCTATAATTTATTATATAATATTATAACTTACATTGAAAATGTAGTTAGCTGTGCGGAACTACCAATTGCTAATCTAATACAAGATGCGTGGACGCCTGCGAAGAAACCGCGAAAGCCTTCGGTTTTGTAAATCTTCATTAAAGCGTCTATTGTGCCTGGAATTATTTATACACGTCGAATGTTCACAAATGTTTTTCATTCAAATATCGCTCTCCTTTGTATTATTCAAAATAAATGGATAGATGAATTAAGAAGTAAATCGCTATTAGTAGTGAATTTTGAAATTAAATCTTTGGACTATCATTATAGATGTACTATTTTTTTTTTAAAGAAAATTAAAAAAGAAGTTCTCTCCGGCGGGCAATTGAACCCCGGTCTCACGCGTGACAGGCGGGGATACTTACCACTATACTACCGAAGATATATATGCCGCTTGCGAATTTATTAAACTTTATCTAAATACCTTTTTAAAAGATTTATTATACGTAATCATCTATAACCACAATTTTAATCAAATTAGATAAATCGCTTGCTCCGAGGAACAAAATCTTAAAAACAAAACTATTTTTTTTTTCAGGAAATATAAAAGAAGGTATTGCTATTATTACTAGAATTGTAGTAGGTACATTATACTAACAAACATATATCCAATGCTAATTTGTGCTTTAATGCTTTTTTTTTTCATATTCGACGATTTAAACATTGTTTTTTGTCTTTAGTGTAAATAGTTAAAAAATAACTAAATATACCTTACAGTAATTTAGATTGTTTCACTGTTTAAACATAATTACAGACGACACAATAACCGTACATTACGACGGTAATTTAGACGAATGTATAGAACGTAATAATTTGGTCCCGGTAGAATGCGACACGACCCCGGAGCCTCTGTAACGCGGCTTTGTCGGAACTACTCAGTGGTTTTGTGGGTATTGTCACCAGTCTCTGAATAGCAGAGATTTTGGCGTGGGTCGAGTCCCACATACCCTGTTCAGGGGATGCGCAAATGCTTTCCACCTCGGATATCAAAAAAAAAAAAATAAATAAAAAAAAAAAAAAAGAACGTAATAATTTATGACCACTTTTTTTCGTACCAACATATAGATAACATTATTTGTTTTTACGCTGTCGCATTAACTTCTATGATTATTTGGTAGAATTACAATCTAAACTAAAACTATCTTCATGGTTGTTGCTATATATTTCAGGAAAAAATATTTACATAAACGAGTATTATTAACATACACAAAATTTCTTCCGTAGAACATTCTCGTGTTCTTTTTATAATAAAATGTTTTGCAAAAATGTTGAAAAAAATGACAGTTATAGTACATCATAACGGTCATTTATTTATGAAAAGAACAATATTACAATTAGCAGTTTATCGTTAAACAAACAGGTTAAGTTTAAAGTTAATGTTAAATATGTGACTACCATTAAACTTAACTTAATTTTTAACCAATGGGGTTCAAGTGCACCGGCGCTTATTAAAGATTTAAGTTGGCGCCTGGTAGATAGTACCGGTGACCGCAGAGCTGATGCTTTCCTGGCTCAACGAATAAGTATCGCAATACAGCGAGGAAATGGAATGCTGCCAGCGTTAAAGGTACACAGCCACAGGGACCAAACTTTTTAAAAATGTTTTGATTTTCTTTTTAATAATTTTTATTATTACTTTGTAGGTTAAGAAAATTGTAAATACTGTATACTTGATTGTAACCAATAAAATATTCACCATTATACATATGCTGTCGCCCAACCGCTACACTAGGATGTGCCGCGGCTTGCAATCTGGTTTTCACAACTGACATAGGGTTCGCAACCAAACCGCTTATAAAACCGCTAGCGCCCGCCCAAAACGCTGATTTCTGAACATTTACGGAACCATTTGATTGTGTCCAACCTTGAACTTCGGCTACGTGATACGTGCCAAGTCTGGAATGATTATAAGACTTAAACGTGCGTCCCAAACTGTCCCATTTGTGGCTGATTTTATCAGAAACATCTTACATTACTTGTAAAAACTACTAAAATTAATTAAAGCATATTCGTGAATCTATCTCTTTTCATCTCGGCGTTAACATATAAATAGAAAGAGACAAATGTAATTAATAATTCTGATTTAGTTTTTATGACAATCATCAGTTTGTCATATAAGCAGTTGCCTTATTCCGTTACTGTGATTTTCAAATTTGGTTTCCTTGTTAGATGACTTCATAATAATTGGAATCTTGTTTAATTCCAGTTCAATAGTTAAGGTTAATCATCAGAATTTCGTAACAGTTTTACAATTTTCCTTTATTCTAGGTCTGCTAGATAATGAAACATTTAATTTATAACCGCAATGCTAATTAATAACAAATAAAATACGTGTGTGTACTTATGTACACGCGTTGGAAGTTATATTTCTTTGACGTAACTACTTAGATAAAAATCTTTTCAAAAAATTTATTCTTCGTTTGTAGAAAAAACGACACTAACCATAGAAAAAACTAAAATGTTGACTATAGCTAACTTCAGGGTGTCGGTTTTTTGTGACGGTATGCGCGCGCATCGTAAAAATTTACTCTCATATTTTTTTTTCCAAACGCACCAAAAGAAGTATACCTTCAAAAATATAGCGACAAATGCGTTACCTAACAGAGTTCATACAAAATCCGAACACCACGGCTGGAGTAAGGCCTTTCTGCAGTGCCAGCACCCCATCTGCCTTCGCGATCACGTAGAGCCCATGGAAGAGGCCCCTATATTGTCTCGGCTGCTCCTTTCTAGATCGCAACTCGCCTTGCAGCTGAAGTCTGGTTTTGACAACATCCATCGGGTTCGTGAAAATAGTGGCACCCGCGCCGGCTAGACCTCCGATTATGAAGTCCATTGCTGACTGGAAACATAATATTGCATACTCATAAATGAAACATGCGGTACGGAGAAGACTTTTTTACACTTACTAGAGTAAGTTGTAACTTTGAAAATCTAACGTTTCAGACTTGAAGATGTGATTGAGAAGTATCTTATAAGAAAAAGTTCATCAATAAGTTCCCCTATTTTGCAATAGAGGATTTATTAATTGGATTGCGTGTAAAATTTAAAAAAACTTGAGATTTTCACCGAGTTGTCACGTTAAACACACGTATGATATAACAATGAGAGATTACGTATATGCAAGGCCGTTAACTAAGTCCAGAGCATATAAAGATTTTACTGTTTAAATTTATATAACAATTATCTTGCAAATAAAATATTTAAGTTTATTTTCTACTAACTTAATTTCTACCTATTGCGTGTACAATTTGTATAACTTAATTGAGGTAAGTACAAGGAAGAAACCTCGTTTCAAGTAACTTAATAGGCGAGTAATATTTAGTTGTTGACTGCTGTTTTTAGAAGGGTCTTGTATCTTGCATACATAAGCGTGATTAAACTACTATATTTTCTAAATAAAATTGTGATTGTACCTACTGGTTCCTAAATTCCCTACAAAATTCCATAAGTCAAGCCAAAATCGTTGTCGAACATTTTATACTTGAACATTATTATACATCAAATCGAGTCGAATCGAAATATGAACATCAAAAAGAAATACATATTAAATTGTAAATGTTTATAATTTTACATTTACTGCCAGTTCAGAACTGGCAATAAACTCTCCGCCACTCTTTTTAATCGCTATAAAAAATTTTGTTTTACACAATGTTTGTGAGGAGCTGCAATCATTAGACCATGTTCCACATGACATCTGAAGTAATGAATAGTTATATAGTAATTAATAATAAAAAACAATTAAAAACAAAGATTTGTCCTCCATCGGCAACAGGCATAGTAAAATAGGAGAACACACGTCTTACATTCTCGTGGGAACAACACGCAAATACCCAATGGTAAGGTTAAGATTTGCTAAAATTATATCATACAAGCCATATTTCACTAAATTTTAAATACAAAATGTAATAATACGTATGGGATATACACTAGTAGAACTGAGGAATACTTGATGATGGAGAAGGGACTTCAAAAATCAAATACTTTAATCTAGGCCACTGTACTTTGTATTGACGAATGACTCTATTTATTGTCTAAAATTTTGTATGGTCATAAAAGTAAACAACTCTTGGTATTTATTAACAATTAAATTAAATGACAATTTACTCACCATTAACAGCAGATGAAAGACTGATCATTTATAACATCAAAATCTTACAATCCAAATTATTTCCTTCACTTCACTTAAACTATTTCTATTATATAACAATTGTACATTGTTTTTTGATTAAAAAACACAAAAAACACGTGCCTTACGGAAATTAATCAACTGATACTATTTCGTTACGTATTCCATGACGATACATCGCGTGGCATTGACATGAAACTTTGGCCGTGGACGAGATTAAACAACACTTGTCCTTAGTCAATGATAAAGAAACCGAACTATTTTTGTATATTAGTGATAAGTCGATATTATGTGACAGTCACATAAATTATTTATTCATTTTTAATTTAAAAAAAATTGTTAATACGCAATATTGTGTAGTTAAATTTGTTTTTATACTCAGTATCTCTTTCCAATTTTACCCAATTCTATATATATATATATATATGTCGCAGCCAACTTGCTTAATTAGCCGTTCAATTAACAGCCTAGTCTTACGGGGCAGAAAGTGGAATGAAATTTAAATTAACAGTCATCAGGCTAGGCAAGAAATGAAACGTCATCGGTCCATGTCATTTGCCTAGCTGTTTGATCAACTGGCTGAATTGAACGGCTAATTAATCTAGTTTGCTGCGACATATATATACCCATCATTTAAATTTCATACAGATAATATACTAGATAATATAATATATATAATATAATATACTATGGTCTAAGTGTTCTGTAGTAATAGTCTTAAATATACAAATGAATGTAGTATAGAAATGTTATTATGACGTATTTATAACGTACAAAAGTTACACATTTATTGTTACCGGTTGGTGGTAGTAATAATAATACCGTTTTATAATTATTGGTTCCTTTTCGAATGAAACCATAATGACGTCACCCAGTTTGGCAAGGAGAGCGGGCGTAGGAAAATGGCATGAATGAGTATTGATTTACAAGAAACAATGAATAATTGATAAGAATTTTGAACCTTATACCAAAAGTACAAGAACGCTATTTGAACAATCATCGGTTTCATACAGATATCTCACATTACTTTCAGAAGAAAGTGAAGTTTTAAACATCACTTTTTCCTTGAAATTTATGATAAAGGACATCGGTTAATTGCAACACATTATTTATTTATATCTTTGATGCATTTACCAATTCAACTTATCATTCAAGAAAAGAGCGATCACTTAATCAGTGAGATCAGATGAGCCTGCTGCCTATTTGCCCCGTTATATAAATAAACCAAACAACCATGACAATCATAACATTTCAATGTTTCGGTAACAACCTTATCGCTTTCAAATAATCTCTTCTAGGCAACCGCTGTAAGTTGCATGGTAAGTATAAATATGTTACATGTATTCTAATATATAAAATTCTCGTATGACGTATCACAATGTTCGTTCCCATACTCCTCCTCCTCTATTAATAATAAAAAAATAAAAAAACGGTTCGACCGAATCGGCTACTAAGTATCTTTCAAACCCCTAAGTGATAAGAGGTGTCCCCAAAAATTATTTTTTTATTTTTTAGACAACATTTTTTGTTTTTATTTTTTTATGATACAACATACTAAAATACATACAACCCCTTTTTTATTTGTTAGTTAAGAACTTATAACTTGAACTCTGAGGTTTATATAGAGAAAAATCACAGAAAAACCTAAAAAGTTGTCATTGAGGAAAACCGAATAGTCTCTCTAGCAAAATGTTTCATGTTGGTATGTACTAAAAAGGTAGGCAGGCATTAAGGAGAAACGAAGTTCGCGGGGGCTGCTAATTTTATTATATATTTTGACGTCACCTTTAGGTGATATTGTTTGTAAAAAAATTAAACACTTTGTATGTTTTTCCTTTAAAAATCGTGTTTCACGGCGACTACTGCGTCATCAACTTCAAATTTGTGGCTCCTGAGATGATTCTCTAACTTTAGGTAAAACACTAGGAGCCAGATCCAGTTAACATGGAGGATTTTCCAACAATCAGAGGCCTCTTGAATGGCAGCCATCGCAATCTCTGGACTCGAATCAAATCTCTGAACTTGTGGGCGGGGGCGTTATCTTGGTGAAATAAAACAGTTTGCCACGCCGTTGCTAACGTATTTCCTCAAGCAAACTTGTTAGTTGTCCTGCGTATAGTCCCCGTAATAGTGGCTCCCGTAGCTGTCCCAGGAAAACCAGCTGTTTTTATCAGCAAATAGAATCGCCTTAAATTTCTTCGGAGTTTGAGATGGCGGTCTCTTCCAAGTGATTACTGCCTTTTCGTTTCCGTAACGACCGAAGAATCTTTGTAAAATTCTCAGTCTTGTTTGTTTCTGCGCGTCAGAAAGCATTTTCATACCCCAATGGTTGTGTAAAATATTATGGACACTTTCTATTAAAATCTTCATTTCTTCTGCAATAAAACAAACAGTAACACGACGATACAAGCCAAGACAATGTTTTTAACTTTTTTAATCGTTTGATCTGTCACCACCGACATAGGGGGGCATAGACACATGCGGGGGTCGTCGGATGTTCTTGCTCGTTTGAACTCAGTACACCAACGTGCAACCGTAGAAGTCTTGATTTGCGCTGGTAGTTAAAAATTTCAAGCAGATATACTTTATAACCGCGCGAACTATTTATGCATTTTTAAGAACACAAATGAATTCTATTTTTAAAAACAAGAGAGAATTGATTTCTTTTTTATAAATGCCTGCCAGTATTTTTTTCCTTCCAAGGAGAATTTACCGCATTATCACTATCAATTCCCGTCGAACACTCGTCGTATAGTAAAATCTTCTAAAGAAAGAAGATCTTCCTTGTATCTTTTCTAGGATCGTAACTTTATGCAGCTATGATGAAAAGACACATACTTACTCCATAGAACATTAAAATAATGAGGTAGATATGTGACTAATAAAGAAATAAATCATTATCTAAACCCAACAATAAAGTTGAAGGTCAGGACCAAATTCGATCGATGAATAATGACGGTCATTATACCTTTGGACAATTTGTCATGGCCTTATGGAAAGTAATCATATATTATTTATACCACTTGCTCATAGTGCTTAATCGGCTTACCAAAAGTGGTTAACCAATCTTTATGTGGGCAAAGGCTGAATTTTTCAGTGGAGTGTGGTACACATTCGTGTATATTGAGATTTTCCCCAAAAACTACGTTGAACAATATACTTAGCTTAATTAGATTGATTACTTTTGGTCTAAAAGACTATAGGAATTGCTAGCAAATAATAAATACTTTTTTTATATTTAAAAGCAAAGGTGTACATCGATGGGGTACAAATATAATCAACATAAAAATGCTGGCCATTAATCAAACTTACAATGTCATGTTAACGTCAAATGCACTAAAAGTTAAAGCAATATTAAAATTAAATATGCCATTGGTGTCCTTTGAAGCACTGTATCAGGTGTCGTCAATCGTTTGGATGCCGTCATTGCTGCGTGTTGTGTCCGGCGGCTTAGGGCAGTGAATTTAATAGCTGTCCCCACGGCGCCCAAGGTCAGAGGTGGGCGGAAGGCGGCAAACATGCTGCCCGGGCCACTCGCGCCCATCGACGCCAACAAAACACGCGCCCTCACAACGATCTACGCTCCGAGGAAACTTAAAACACGGAAGCATAAAACCGCGCAAACTAGGATGCTGGAAAACGACATCCCTATCAAACCCAGTCTCTCACCCTTCCACCCTCTCCCAGCTATCGGCCAGAAAGCGGAAAAGACTAAAGTAATTGTCTTCGATTTAGACAAACCGATCACGTTTCACGAAGTGATGCAACCATTAACGCCTCTCAGGATAAATAGCTTACGGAAGAATACTTTTAAAAATTTCAACGCGAAACCACATTTAATTCGTGAAAATACGTACGATGTGATCAACCCTATGTACATTAACGCGCCAACGATCGACAAGAAAGATTGCTCAAGAAAAACATTTTCGCAACCAACCAAGGAAGTAAAAATGTCAGCGAAAACGAGATTCAAAAACGCCGCTCTGCAGGTAGCCAAGTTATCGTCAATGTCTAAAGGTAAACTTCTATGCTTAAGGGAAAGTGAAACATTCACCTTATGCAAAAGTAATGACGACTCTTGCAGACTGCAGAGGATACCGAAGAGTCCGGCGCAAAAATTAAATAAGCTTTCTGAAATATTTCAAAGTCTGGAGCTACAGGGCCGGCAACGAGATAGGTTGCAGAAGGAAAACAGCTGGTTTTGATTAGTGTAAGTGTTAAACTGAATGAAAACTAAGTGATAAAGTGTGGTAAAATTATTTTTGTTGTTCGCAAGAGCGCTTCTGTTTTTGGTCTACGCTTACCCGAAAACGCGTAATCTTTACGTCAATATGTTTAATTAAAGTGTTAATTTTCTAAGGTTTTTTTAGAATACTCCTTATATTGTCCCTTATAGAATTGATCCAGTCATAACTAATATTGTTTTTACTTTACGAGGGCACTGCTGTAGAGCACTCGAATAATTTAAAATTACGATATTAGCAATATAATAAACTTGTTTTATCAAGAGAATAGCTTATTATAAATAGCGACATGAATTCATTATTGTCATAATATTTCGGAAGCTAGCAAAAATTTATACATTCGTCATTTAAAGTTAATACAAATGTAATTCACCTCTGTTTTTAATGATGTGAATAAACCCTGACTAATATTTGAAAAGCCTTAAGACTTTTCCAAAACTTTTGACTTCTTAGTCATTGCACTGATTGTTTCCTGTTGAAAATTATAATACATTGTTGTAATGAGGTCGAATATTGAATGAGGACAGTTCAATTCTATAATGAATCCTTGAAGGCGTAGTTGTATTATGCTATTTCTTTAAATCATGACACAGAATTATCTATAATTCTAAAAAGTAGCAGTAGGTACCTTTAATATCTATCACTTTAAGCTTTATTTTACAATAGGGATATTAAGTAAAATAACATTAAATGAAAACCTATTCAAAATTTGTAACTAAACTGTCCACTGTGTTGAGATAAATAGGGGTTTAAACCCTTTTCATGATTCTATAATCAACGAAAATCTTTATTTCCATATAATACGTCATTACTTATAATGCACTATAGATCATGTTATACTGTCTTATAATATTAAGAATTGTGATACCAAATGTTTAATGTACGATATTGTCTTCTGTCGTACATATTCCGAGTATTTCGATACAGCCTTTGATAACTATCCGTTGTGTGCTCGACATAAACAGTACCGAAGTAAAATTTTATATACTATATCGTTTCAGTATCAATTTCTCTTTAAAAACCGGATCGAGGGAGTTTAACTTAATAATTAGAACATATAATGTAAGTATGAAAATAAAGTTAATTTACCATTGTAGTGGGAGTGGGGCGTACTCCCAAACAAATTAGATTCGGGGTGTTTCGATTATTGTTCCATGTAAAAGAGAACGAACAAAGCTTTTGTTATTCTTTGCTATTCATGGTAAACAATATTTTGAAAAGTTTGTACTTAAATTTTAATTTCTAGTTTGATGACGTCTCATGTCCGACGGTGCATGGTGCAGGCACAGTTCCTTCGATTTGTCCGTCGTTCCCCCAAATATTGCTGCTCTTGCTGTCATCGTACGTGCAAGTCTTGAGTACGCAGGGAAAGAAGTTTCCCTTTTTTACTATGGTCGAAATTCACTAAGCTCACACTGCTTACTAAATTTTACGTTAAGAAAACATATAGGGCCGTCAATACAAGCCTGATAAATAACGTAAGTAGACATGAATTATTGAATACAAAAGTCATAAACACATGGCGATACCACTGAAGTTTAAATGTAAACATATCTTTGTGTCAATTTTGATGAAAGAACATCTCAGCAATTTTCTTAATGATGAAAAAGTATGAAGTACATAACGTCTGTAATGTATGAGAATTTAAGGAAATTGACAATATTGTTTCTATTATGCTTCCAAATATTAAGAATATTATTTAATGTTTTTATATAAACGTTTTATATATTTTCCTCAGCTATTTCGAGAGGTTATTCAAACATTACGGGAGTAAAGGGTTAAACGCTATTTTCATATTTTTTATTGTTTGTGAAATATATTAAATATTATATTGAACGATTGCCTTGATACAGTTGCATTTAGGTCATGCATATTGCACGCTTGCGCTTGTCTGTTTTGATCGCGTGACGTATCAATAGAACAATCACAATATTGGTTTTCATAAAAAAAATATTCAGATTGTATCTAACCTCGTCTTTAATTACTGTATCAAATAAATATTGTTTTTGTTATGTAAAAATGCAAAAATCCTCAAATTTGAGACAACAATTCCGGAACAATAGAATGACAACTTAAGAAGTCTGTATTGAAATGCATAGCTTGAATTTGATTGATGCAAAAGTTGGATTTATAGTAAAATAAAACTTCTTTAAAAATGTTAAGTCTATTTAAAAATTGTAAAAAGTCAGTTTTTAAAAATAACACTATTTAAAATTAATTAAATATCAATAATACTTGAAGTATATAATCAAATCAAATAACTGATAGGAGATTGGATCCGGGGTTATTTTGTAATTTTGCTATTTCATCTTTGAATTTGGTTATTGTGTCTTTTGCCAGTTGCAGTTTATCTTTCAACTCCGAAATTTCACTTCTCACTTTTGTTTGTACAGCAATAATTTTTTCCAGCGTCTTTTCCTTTTTATCCTCAACTGAAAAAAATTAATAACTAAAATTAACCTTTTTTACCATTTCAAATCAGACAGACATAACATTACTTAAAATTTTTAATAACATACACAACAATAAAACTCAATAAAGACACTATGGAAGTTGTAATATGTCATAAAAAGCAATATTGATAATTATCGTCCAAACATCATACTTGTTGTCGTAGATTCATTAAATCAAAAAGTGATTCTATATACGAATATGAAAAATTTGCTGCTAGTAAGCCTAAAACTAGCAGATAAGAAATATTAACATTTTACACTTTTAATTTCAAATCACTGTAAATAGTTATTTTGTTCCTACTGTGTAATAAGTCTTTTAAATTTGTGATACAGATTGTAATTAAGCCATCATTATTATTCTATTTTTTTTGTCTAGAATTTATTTTAAATATAATTGTTTTTTCAATCTATATGTAACTTTTTATTTGAAAAAATATTACAATGGTGTATGTCCAAAACAAGCATTATTTCATAATTCAGTTAATATTCCAAGTAGTTTTAAAGTAGTAAGGTTTATTTTATGACATAAAAACTTACAGTTTGTATCATGACACCAAGGACCATTAGTTATTGGTTTAACATTATTCAAGAGATGCTGCATTAACTGTGTAGGTTCTTGGAAGACAATTTCTTCATATGATTCACTAACCAGGGCTCGTCCAACTTGAGGCATTCCCTCACTTACTGGTGATTGGAAAAGTTTCAAAATATGGTACAATGTCACCTGAAATTGAAGTCTAGTATAATAATAAAAATTTGAAGAAAATAATTTTAAAACAGCTATAAGCTCACTGTATGGCACCAAACCAATTTATTAGCTTACTGGAAATTTAATCCTTTACCAGCTACTAAATTTTATTTAGTAGCCATTTAGAAGCTTGTGGGATACAGAAGTACACATATTATTTAAGAAGCATATTTAGAAAATATACTTACTGGTCTTTCATTAGGATCGTGAAAGTAAATCTTTATTACAATTTCAAACTCTCCCCAGCCAGTTTCCGTTAGTTCGTAGGGCGGTTTTGTGATTATTCGGTTAGGGTTAGCATAACTTTCGTGCAATTTGAAATGAATCTTTTTAATGTACGCTGACATATCCTCATTTGCGTAAGGTTTTACATACACCGTCCACTGATGTGTATGGCCATCTTCTTCACGTTTCTTCCCGAAGTACCGAGCAACATTCCCGTATACTATAGGTTTTACTATAACTAATCCCTGTAAGTATTTGATTAATTAATGCATCCTTATGTTATAATAAAGAATATAAATTCTGGATTAATGTGTTTAAGACATTATTGTTAGTACCTTTACTCTACCGCCTGAATCAGGGCCAAAGTCGGTCGGTAAACTCATTTCAGCACTGTAATTAATATTAGTGTTTGAATCCACGGTGGTTGTTTTGAAGTACCTTTGTGGCCAAGTTAAATCACTTTGGTATTAAATGCAAATAACGTAACTAAATCTTTTAATTTGTTCAATAAATAGTCACAAAAGTAATGTTTACATTTTTTTTATGAAAATTTATAACACTAAACACAGCCTAGAACATTAACAGAAAATGATAACTTACGTCGTAAACATTCTATCGTCTGTATTAGACAGACTAATAATAATTTTAAAAGTATAAAAATGAAGCTTTTAGAAAAGATAAACCAGCAACATGAACTTAAAAACAATGTTGTATATATTTATTTTTAGTGTATTTAGATTTGTTGCAATTTATAATATAAATATAACAGTTCAAGACATTTTATTTTATATATACATAGGTTATAAAGAATCATAGCTGAAAAGGTCGCAAGCCATTTCCATTAGCCATGGCTTCCAACACTCCTGACTCCTATATAATATCACAACTTCATTGTATTCTGGTATAAAGACCCTGTTTTCTAAAATTTGTCCTTTCTTATTACAGCTTTTACAGTATTTAACGTTACGCTTAGGAGTTAGGCACTTTGATAAGCTTCTAACGTTGTGGGTTGTTCATTTTGATTCTTTGCCTCGAATTTTTCGAAAATATTTATTATATATATATGTATATAAATTTTTGTAAAATTACTTTTTACGAAAATACAAATATGCTTTCTACATTTACAAAAGTAATAAATTATTCCACTTTATCTAAAGTTGTTAAGTAAATGTCAATTTCAATTTTGAACGAATTGTTTAATTGTCAATTCTCATAATTTGAATTTGAAAATTAATTTAAAATTTTGGTGGCAGAGTCGTAAACTTGTTACGAAACCTTATATGTGCATTTGTTTACATTTTTCCTGTTCAAATTTTCCGGTTGGCTTTTTATTTTCTTAATATAAAACTAAAATGTATATTTATAAAGCCTGATTCAGGTTTTTATAAAATGTAATTTATATCTTCAAGAGTGGCTAAAATAACCTAAGATAAAATAGAATAAAGCTTTTAATTAACTTCAAAAATTACCTTTGCAGAATGTCAGTTTGCATAAAAAATCAAAGTAAACAATCTTTCTTTAAGTACTATGGACTTTCTCATTGGTGGGCTTGCTGGTGTTGGTGCTGGTTTCTTTAGCAACCCTTTTGATGTGGTAAAAACTCGCATGCAGTTACAAGGAGAACTACAAGCAAAAGGTCAACATGCTGTTTATTATAAAAATATACCGCATGCCATTTACACCATTGTAAAACATGATGGCATAAGTGCTCTACAGAAAGGCCTCGCTCCAGCACTTTGGTTTCAATTAGTAGTAAATGGGGTAAGGTATGTTACCATTTTATTGGAGGCTAAAAAAGAACTAGGATTTGACACAAATATATGTTTTAGTGTATTTGGCATTAATTTAAAGTAGACCTGTAAAGGTTTCTGTTACTGATGACAATTATGTCAACATATTTTGAATTAAACAAAGGTTTAACACCATTCCTAATGAAATTGAAGTTCTTACAGTTATATTAAAAATAAATAATTTTCAGATTGGGAATATACCAACAAGCTGACAACTATGGGCTTCTAAGAGATGAGAAGAATAACACTAAATTTGTTAATAGTGTATTTTTTGGTTCTGTATCTGGCATGTGTGGTGGTTTCATGGGCAGTCCTTTACAACTCGTTAAGACCCAACTAATGTCACACTCGGCTAAGCAAATAGCTGTAGGCACACAACATGCCCACCCAGGAATGATGAATGCCTTATCAAAGACATATAGGAAAAATGGTCTTGTAGGATTATGGAGAGGTGCCCATGGCATGATGTTAAGGAACTCTACTGGTTCTGCTTCACAAATTGTTTCATATGCAATGTAAGTTTCTAGCTTGTTTTGTCTAGTTTGTTTTAAACAATGTTTAAACCAAAGTAAAACTGTGAATACTATATGAAATCTTTAAATATAACAAATTATTATAAATAAATATATATTATATAAACATATATTTTTTAAATATATTATATGTTTTTATTCTACTGTTGGATGAAAGTGTTTACAGAATTAATGTTTTTTAAAATATCCTCTGATGATGGGTTATGTTTCAACATTTAGATAAAAAGTAAGCAATATAAGATGTTTATGTGTCCTAAGATAGCACAAATAATTAAAATAATGTTGAACACTTTCTGATGTAATATTTGTCTTCCAACTGTTTCACTGATAGCAATAATTTTAATGTCAATAATAAGATCAAAAGTTCACTTTAAAAAATTTAGTGATCTATATCAATAAAATTTTCTTTTTTTAATACATGATCTTTGTCCTGTTTGTTTATCACTCATATAACTTACTTTGCTTAAGGAGTTTTAAGGAACTTCTATTGATTAAGTTTATGAATAATGCATGAAGAAAATCATGAACTTTTTATATACTGATGATATATTATTGTGCCTTTATGGGCTTATTACTTTCTCTGATTGTAAAACAAAAATGTGTCTTCTTTTTTGGCTTTTTCTCAATGTAAACTCATCTACATATAATGCTTTATTTAACTTTGACAGCATTCAATAACAAATTTAATATTATAGGTGTAAAGAATGGATGGACAACAATAACATGTTCCAGCAATCAAAATACCTTCCTGCTTTTTTAGCAAGTAACATTGGTGCTATTGTTAAGACCATCACACTAACACCAATGGATGTCATTATGACGCGACTCTATAACCAAGGTATAAAATTTTACTACATCTATTACTATTTATACTAAACCTGAATTTGTGTTTATCGAACAATCCTGAACTATCTTACTAGCTATCTAGCTTACAAAAGTTTTAAACACTAACATTCAAAATGACTGAATGTATATGCAAGAACTGAGTTTTTCAGTTATAAACCAAAACCACCAGGGGACTTATAGACATTTCATAGTCAGTAATACTTTGATTTCAGGGGTTGATGCACAAGGTCGTGGTCTGCTTTACTCGGGACTGGCAGATTGTGCAATGAAAATTACTAAAACAGAAGGTGTTTTAGCTTTTTATAAGGGAATCGGACCCTCTTATTTCCGTCAAGCGCCTCATTCGGTACTTTTACTTGTATTTTGGGATATGTTAAAAGATTTACAAAAAAGTTATCAACCGCTTTCAGTATAAATCACTTCTATTAAATAATCTAAGAAGTTGCAAATGTAGTACCAATAGTATTATATAATAAATAGGATAGTAAATGCTGTGATTCTATAGATACATAAAATCAATATATATAGGTTATTATTACATTACTTTAAGTATCAGAAGTTCTTAAATGTAAGGATATAAATGATAATTGTCTAAAAAAAAAACTAAGTAAAATGATTAAAAGGCCATTTATAATTGCTACGAATTGAGCCATACATCTTTTAAAAAAGATTCCAATTTACAGCCAGATTTACATTAAAAATGCAAGTTATTGTTATATATTTGTATAAAATACCTAGATAATATTAAACATTGTGTATAAGTAAATATCTATGAACCAAATAGAGATTTTATCAACATTTTTGTTTAATGTGTGACACAGTATTAAATTTATATTACTTATTAAAAGATCTTTGAGACCAAAGAATTAACATGTTTTAAATGTTTAATAAAATGTTAAATTATAAATCGTATTTTTTAATGGCCTGACAAAGACATTTTTGCAAGTGATATGTATCACTGTTTGTATCTGACGATTGAAGATTTCTTGTAGTTTTCTTTTCTTTAGTAGTCAAAAACCAATGACGTACTAAAAGCAAATTTCGTCTCGAATTTTAGATATTTTAAATTTGCCGGGTTATTTCACGTCTGTATGTTAAAACTAGAGAAGTGTCATAATCATATGGTACAGTTAACAGTGTACAGTGTACACAATCATTCATTTTCATTATCATATCAATAAAGAAAATAAACAACCAATCTTAAATTTATTATGTACAAAATACTTACAATTCATGTCGGTGGTGATTGGTGTCCTTCAGTAAGTAGTAATTGAGCTAACTAGAAGTGAGCATTTGGATTAAGATTGTAGGACAAAATGACAACACATAAAGATGGAGTTAAGCGAGATATCACAGACATGGCTATGGGTGGATTGGCAGCGATGTTTGCAACTATATTTACAAACCCAATAGAAGTTGTCAAGACTCGGCTTCAATTGCAAGGGGAGCTTGTATCTAAGGGCAAGCATGCTGTGTATTATAAGAATGTACCACACGGATTATATGTCATAGCAAGAACAGAAGGAGTTATAGCTTTACAAAGTGGACTACCAGCCATGTTAGGATTTCAATTCTTTTTGAATACATTTAGGTGAGGTTATAAACTAGAAATTTAATTAGTCTGTGTAATATAATAGAGCTTTTCTTTATACTTTATAGATTGTTGCCACCGGCTGGTCTTCTTGATTCTTAAAATTTATTGGAAGTTGCTACATACTTTGTTTTGACATAAAGTCTGTATAGAGAGATAATTCTATTTCATAAACATTTTCTTGAAGGTTAGGAGTATACCGTATATGTGAGAGGAGAGGTCTAATAACAAATTCAGATGGTCACACATCATTAGTTTGTGGGGCACTTGCAGCAGGCTTTGGAGGTGGCATGGGGTCTATTGCTGGAACTCCGTTCTTTCTAGTAAAAACCAGATTACAGGCACAAGCTTCTAAGACCATTGCTGTTGGACATCAACATCAGCACAGTGGCACTTGGAATGCATTGACACATATATTCCACAGAGAAGGGGTAAAAGGTATAAAGAAATTAATTTAAATTATATACTATTTACTGAAGTATAGTTGTTAATTTTATTTTAATATACTTTTTGTCATGTAAAAAGTTTAACATCAAACCTAGATTTGACCCCTGACTTTCATAAGGCTCTTATTCTCATTGATTTATTATTTAAAGGTCTATTTCGCGGCGTGGGACCCCAAATTCCCCGTGGTGCAGTGGGTAGTAGCTCGCAAATGGTCAGCTTTGCATACGCAAAAGAATGGTTAAAGGATCATAACTTATGCAAGTCACCACTACTTCTCTCATTTATGGGTGCCAATCTAGGTGGCATTGTGATGACACTTTGTTTAAACCCTTTTGACGTCATGGCCACTAGACTTTCTAATCAACGTAAGTTTTTACACTAGGGAAAATCAATGCTACAATATAATGTATTTTACAATTATTTGTTGTACTTTCTAGCGGTGGATGCCCAAAACCGTGGTACATTATATAAAGGTATGGGAGATTGCTTCATTAAAATACTTAAATCTGAAGGGGCTGGAGCGTTCTACAAAGGCATTGAAGCAAATTATATGAGACTAGGCCCACACACGGTGCTTTTATTGGTTTGTTGGGACCAACTTAAAATATTAGAAGAATACATAAGATGATTTTGGATGAAGATAATGTTTATTTTGTTAACTAATTTTAAGATTGACTATACTTTCCAAGTTATTAAAATACTTGATTATAAGTACATAATATTTCAAAGGCAAGAGACCATTAAAATGGCATGTTGTATTTTGACTTTCAATACTTTGTTATAATTATTTGAATTGTGTTAAAAACACTCAAATAAATTTTTGAAGTTTTTATTGTTATGCTAAGAATATTTTTTATAATTATTTTGTATGTTTTAATAGACAGAGATGTTTCTACATTTGTATCATATTAATTTAAGAAAAAAATCTAAATACGGGTTCCAAATACATAGTTACAATATAAAATAAAATTTATTTTTATACAAATGTTTTTATTACAACCAAAACCATTTTTTATCATAATGCCTTAAAATGGAAATCATATAACCATTTCACAAAT